ACAGTGAGACACACAGGCACAGATAAAAGGCCTAAGGACAGAGAGACTAGACAGGCAAAAGAAATATAGAGAAACCTGGAAACACAGGAGAGACACAAGAACTGAGCAGACAGAGAAGAGGGATGGCAGAAAAATGGGCTGGCAGGGAGGGAATGGAGACTGACAGTGAAGGCAGTCAAAATCACCAAAAGGGGTGCAGACAGGCAAACAGAGAGAGAGAGAGAGAAGGGAAGACAGATAAAGGAAGAAAAAATAAGGTAAGAAGGAAGACAAAGTGATAATGGTGTTTTATACAACATAGTGCTTTATAATTTATAAAGTGCTATCACATACATTATTGCAGGCAGACAGGGAGAATCCAGCAGACAGATGGGGTGATGGAAGGATACAGGCCAATCAGACAGAAGAGAGGGGAGAGGGCCAATCAGAAAAAGAGGCTACAATAGAGACCAAGACAGACAGATAAGAAGAAAGAACCAAGAAAAGAGAAGTAAGAGAGGGAAAGAGGGAAAGAGTGGAGAGACACAAAGATAGAGGCTGAAACAGTTAAACTCAGGAAAACAGGCAGTAAAAAAGCAGAAATGAAAGAACAGTGCATTGTGTGTACAAGTTTTATTATCATCTTTTTCAAAGAGACCTGGTTAGAGGCTGTGTCTTTGTCTCCTTCAAAGAGTTATAAAATGTCTCTAAGGTGGCATGTGAGTGGAGCCAGAAGGCTGGATGAAAAAGGAAAAAAGTTTTAATCAGGAGAAAGCTTTTTAGACTAGGAGGAAGACAAACTTCTTAGGCCTAGGTCAACAACCTAAAGGATCTTAGATTCACATGACCTTACATAATTCATACAGACTGAGAAAAGCAGGGCAGTCCTCTCTCTACTCTGTGTGCATGTAAGCTCAGCTTACTGTTACTTATTAACTGTGCCTATGGTACTTTTTAGTACTACCGGTGCTTTCATGCCTTCTCCAATACATATTTCGGTGATGAAGGGACCAACAAAGCTGTCTTGCTGTCATCAGACCACTTCCCATGCAGAGCAGACTACATTTGGAGAGAGTAAAGCCTTCCTGAGCACTCCTCAGGTACTGGTAGTGAACGCATGCAACCAGCAACTAGTCAATCCAAAAGACAAGTGCTTTGGGTAGCACTTGGCAGAATCCAAAAGACCAGAGATGGCAAGCCCAGCCAAGTTAGTTAGGAGTACTGACAGACTGACAGAGGAAGGAGCATCCAGAAAAACTGGAAGAAAAGTAGGGAGGAGTACAGCAAAACACAAGCAAAAGCAAGCAAGCAAAAAGACTTATGTATGTGTAGACTCTTCTCTGGAGCAGTATCCAGGAAATGTCAAACAGTGGCTGCTTCTGGGGAGAGGAACTCGGAGACTATGGGAGAAGGATGGGAGAGAGGCTTACTTTTCACAGTACACTTTCTGTACTTTTAAAATGTTGTACCGTAAGTATGCACTACCTATTTAGAAGTTGACTGGGAAAAAAGAAACAAAAGAAGAGAGAAAAGCAAGAAGAGATGTGGACAGCAAGAGCCTGCCAAGCAGACAGCAAAAAGGCAGGAAGGCAGCGAGAGACTGGGAAAATGGCAAAAAGACTGAGGCAGGCAGACTGTGTGAGGAACCAGAAAGACAGAAAAAGAGATAACTGAAATAAAGGCAAACATGAGAGAAGGCAGGGTAGGGGGTGTGGCAAGAAGTTAGATAAGACTCTGAGGCAAAGGAGTTACTGAGAGGTTTAGGGAAGAGAGACTATCCTCATTGACGGATGTTGGCAGAAAAGAAGCAAAGGAAGAAAATGCTAGCAAGTACGAAGACTAAAGAGAAAAGCCTGAAACGGTGGGATAGCAGCAAATGGGGTAGACAGGCAAGAGAGATCTAAAGGGAGGCAAGGGAAAAGGAGGAACTTAACAGGCACAAATAAGAGAAGGAACAAGCAGAAGGGCAAGAGAAGAGGCAAACCAAGATGGGGAGCTGTGGCAGGGCCTGGAAGGTAGACAAACCGAGAGATGCAGGCTAAAAAAGTGATAGAGACAGGCAGGCGGGGAGACAGATGGCTAGAGAGAGAGTGGTGGGCAAACAGCCAGAGAAGCAGACAGACAACCAGAGAGGAAAAAGAGGCTGCCAGCCAGTCAGGGAGGAGCAGACAGGCAGGCAGGCAGAACCATAACAGGAGCAAGCAGGTAAAGAGGCAGAAACAAGGAGAGAAGAAGAAAAATCAAGAGGTCAGTAAAGAGAGAGAGAGAGAGAGAGAGAGAGAGAGAGAGAGAGAGAGAGAGAACAGGGAAGAGATGCAGACAGGCAAAAGGGAGGATGGACAAGGAGAGGGAGAATAAGGCAAATTAGCAAATCCACATGCAAAGCACACTCAAGAGAATGACGAATGTTTGTACAGGGATGCACACAGCCACCTTGAGCCACCCGCACCTGCAGATCATGGCACATGTGGCAGGCAGAGGCTCTCAGTATATAGAGAGGGCACGGAGGCAGAGAGGCTGCAGCGCACATGATGCGCAGCGTGGCCCACATTCACGTGGAGACGCTCTTCCCATACACAGTACGACCCACAGACACACTCAGAAGGGGCCAGAAAGAGGGGGAGTCAGGCACACATGAGGAAGAGCCACACACAGTCAGAGACTGGAAGACAGAAGCAAGCAGAAAGAAGACAGAGACGGAAAGTCACTTAGAGGTGACAGAGCCTGAGGGTCCGAGGGATGAGAAGGATAGTCTCAGTTAAAAACAGACATAAATAGAGATAAGTCCACATATAGAAAGAGGGAGATAACCAGATAAACTAGTAAAGAGGGACAGAGAAAGAAGACAGGAGAGCAAAATTGACTGGAAAACTAGAAGAGGAGGAGGAGTTAGACTTAGTACAGAAATGATGTGGGAACTGAAGCAAGAGAATTCCAAAGGCCAGGTTGAAAAAAAGAGATAGAAACCAACACCCAATAAAGTGCATTAGTGTGGGGAGTGGAACATTAATAAAGAACATTTTAGCTTCATAAACAAAAATGTGCGTCATCTTCCCAGTCACTAATACTTTCTGGTTGCTGCCCACCTACCCCTCCCTCTCAGGGTGCTCTTGAGCACTGCAGAAGATGGGCGGCCAGCAGTTACACTGGAGAGGTAAAGGAATAGCCCAGAGAGAAATGATTCCACAGGCATGGAATGGGAAGCAAGGGAAGGGGCAAAGGGAGATCAAAGGAATGGGAGGAAGCTAGAGTAAGAAAGGGTCAACAACAATGTAAGAGGGTAGAACTGAGCTATTTGCCCTCCTTCCTTTGCTCCATTTGGCAAGGATCATTTTCTGTCTAGCCCTCTCTGAGCAAATCTCTGTATGAGAAAGCTACTTTGGGACTCCTTTCCAACTGTCCAATTCCTGGTACCACTTTACCATAAACACTGGGGTACAGTTGGAAATCACAGGTCAGAAAGTTAGATGAAAACGCCTGGGTATAACCCCTACCTCTGCTTTTTCTCAGTTCCAGCTCCTTTCTCTTTCACGGTACCTCAGTTGCTTCTACTTTATCGGATAGTGTTGGAGATCATGGAGGGAAGGCAAATATACTGAAACGGAAGAAAAAAGAACATAATTTCATGATCTTCAGATTTGACTCTTTCATCTTTATCCTAAACATTTGTTCTATTTACCCCCAAATTAATCTCTCAAGTCAGTTGAATTTTACATTCTAGCAATTGGAGGAGGGGAAAGCAAGGGAAAGGGGTAAAAGAGTAAAGATAAAATTTACAACAATTATAAATCACTGAAAAGGCTGGGTAAAGGGGAGAATCAAACATGGACTCCTTTGAAAAAAACTCAATCATCGTATCTATTCATAGCTCTCCCCCAAAAGTCACCAGGATTTCTATCACTTTTTTTAAAGAAAGAAGAAAAAAATCCAGTCCCGCTTCTCATTTAAAAGATATGTACACAATTAAATGCGTTGTGACTTCAATGAGGTATGTAGAAACAGAGTTATATATAAACATATATTTCATCTTTTTCCTTTTCAATGCCTGAAGGGGAAAAAAACCTTCACATCAAACCACTCCCTTCTGAAGTATTCAAAAAAAAAAAGCTTTTCTTTAGAGAAGGGAGGTGGGGAGGAAGAGACTAGTAAAGAAAATAAAAAAAATTAAATCTAGTTGGACTAGTATCTAACTAGTTAACCTTTAACAATTTATGCTGATGTCAGACTGAGCATGAGTACTGATTAATGCCCCCCCTCAAATATTTTTTATAAGGGGGGAGTTAGTCACAGCAGCCATTTTTGTTTTATGCAGAAATCCTTCATGCCCCCCCAACACACACACACACACACACACACACACACACACTTCAGTACACAAGGAAAATATCTCTATTAATCTGTGCACTAATCAGTTATGAAAAAGGAGAAATTTGTGGGTTTCTGGGTAGAGGCTTGGAGATGGGGGTGTAACAGGGAGGCGAATGGGGGGGTGAAAAATGAAATATTAAGCCAGCCATTTTGTTTGAAAAGGGGATTTTCCCCCCTCTCCCTTTCTTTATGGAGGGGGTGGCGGTGCTGGAGGGGGGGTTGTTTTAAAAATAATTTCAAGGCGGCCATCTTAGTGCCTCAGCTCTGAGAAATATTTCTGAGCGCCCCCCTCAGAATTTAAATATATTTAAAGCAACGGAGAGGGGGGCAGAGAGAAGTCGAAAACTTTTATATATATACATATATATATATATTTTAAATCCCCCTTTCTTGTTCTCTTGGGAGGAAAGAGAGAAGGAAAAAAAGTCTTTCCTCAATTTTTTCCAAGACAATTTTTGGGGGTGGTTTGGCCCCCCTCCTCAGACGGCGGCCCCGAGGGTGGGGGTTTCGGAGGGGGGTGGCCCGGGGGTTTGGGGGGCTGGGGGAGGCGGTGAGGAGGAGGAGGACGCCGCCGCCGAGGAGGAGGAGGAGGAGGAGGAGGAGGAGGAGGTGGTGGTGGTAGCGGTGGGGGAGGCGGGCGGGCGGTGGGTGGGGGGGTGGTGGGGGGGCCAGAGCCACAGGATGGCTTCCCCTCTGAGGGACGAGGAGGAGGAGGAGGAGGAGATGGTGGTGTCGGAGGAGGAAGAAGAGGAGGAAGAAGAGGGCGACGAGGAGGAGGAGGAGGTGGAGGCGGCCGACGAGGACGATGAGGAGGACGACGACGAGGGAGTACTCGGGCGCGGGCCGGGCCACGACCGGGGCCGCGACCGCCACAGCCCCCCCGGCTGCCACCTCTTCCCGCCGCCGCCGCCGCCGCCGCCGCCACCGCTGCCCCCGCCGCCGCCGCCCCCGCCGCCAGGTAAGCGGCCGCCCCGACTCCCCCGCAAAGCCCGAGTGGGAGCCGCGGGCGCGCGAAGCCGGGCGGGGGCGAGGCACCCACCGCGCGGCCGAGCCGAGGCGAATCCGGAGCGCGAATCCGGGGCTCGGGCCCGTGGCCCCGCGGCGGTCCGGGCGGTCCGGGCGGGCGGTGGCGGCTGCGACCGCGGGGCCAGGCCTCCTCCCCTCCCCCGCCGCACCCCTCCCCCGCCGCCGCCGCCGCCGCCGCCGCCACCGCCGCCGCCGCCACCCCGGCTGGAGAGCGCTGGGCGCGAGCTGCGCGCGCGGACCGGGCCACTCGGTCGCGGCTTTCGGGGGAGGAGGAGGAGGAGGGTTTTTTTTTACCCTCGGCGGGGAGGGGGTAGGCAGGAAACGGCCAAGGCGAAGCCAGGGCCCCCTCCCTGGCCGAGCGAGGGACCGCGGAGACCCTGGCGGCCGGACGGCGGCGTGGGGGAGGGGCGCGTGGGGGAGGGGCGGCCGCGCGAGCGCCCCTCGGGCTCGGGCCCCGGTGGGGTTGGACCGAGGGAGAGTGGGGTTTCCCCGCCCGGAGCAGCTGACCGGCCTGCCCCCTCCGCTCAGGACTTGGGCAGGCAGAGTGGGGACCGTGTCCATCGGACCCCCCCTCCACCCGCGAGGACTTAGATGCCCGCCAGCTGAGGGGCGTGCGGTGGCACGCGAGGGAGGGGTCTTGTGAATGTTTGTGGGCTGCTGATGAGTAGGGGCAGGTGGTGGCTACAGTCCACGCAGACCACTTCCTGGAATAAGACTGGAGCTCGTCCCCTCGCTCCCCCAGCCTGTGCAGGGGACAGCAGTCCCTTAGGATTGGGGAGCGGAGAGGAGAGTGTCTGGGGAACCAGATGCCCCCAGCTCCACCCCCTTCATCTCGCCGGGCCTCTGGGCTCTTTTGTGTCAAGTGCGGTGGGGGGGGGGGGCCCTCTCCTGACCCCGTCAGTCTGGGGTGGCCAAGCTGCCCAGCTGTGACTCTCACGTGGCTGCCATTCACTGTCACTCACTCTCTCGCTGAAACCACCCACTCCCTGAGCACGCTGGGGGGCGTGAACTGCCCACCCAGCTGTTCTGCAGCTTGACCATCACTCAGCACCCGTCCCCCGAGGTGACAAGTCACCCGGCGGCACTCTCTGGGCGGCGCTCTCCAGACCGCTGCGCCGCGTCAGGCGCCCAGCGGTGTCCCCCTCAGACCACCCTCCTAGTGGAGTGATTTCTAGTCTTCTTTGGGATAGGTGAGCATCTGGGTGTCCACACCCCCCGCCTGGGCAACGGCAGGGGGACGTCCGCACCCCCGGGCCTCTGGCTGCCATGCGGCACAAATGCACCAAACTTCAAAACGGCCAACACCGGGCTCTTTGTAAAACTCATATTGATCCGTGTGGCTTCTGTGGCAAACGTTCCTGTCTAGCCGAGACGACCTTTGGGGGAGCGGGGGGTGCTTTCTTGTGGGTCAGGGAGGGATGTGCGTCTCCTGGAAACTGGATAAAGTCTCCCCGTCCCCCAAGCTTGTCTGAAAAAGGGAAAAGTTTTGAAAAAGTTCTCCCAGAGAGCCCCCTGCCTTGGCAGGAAGGGGAGGAATGAGGAGTTGTGGGGAGAGGGTGCCTTTGGGGTTGCCTCCGGCAGAGGCGCTGAAAAGAGGAAAAGAAAGGCCGCCAGGTCCTGCCAGGGGCTTGGCAGCGCTCACCTATTTGTATTGGCACTTGGAGTCTGGGGTGGGGTTGGGTGGGTCTCGGATCTGGGTACGTGGGGGAGAGAAGCGTGAAAGGATCTGAGGTTGAGATGGGTCTTTGTGTCAACCTGGCCACCGCTTTCCTTCTTGGCTTTCTGAATAGACCAGAAGAAACGTCAAAGGCTGCTTACATTTTACATCTGAAATGAAAACCCACCTCCCCTCTCCCCCTGGGCAATTTTTATCTCCCTTTCAGCCCTCCAAGTCGAATGAGTGACCCAGATACACCCCCTCAGATGACTTTCGGAGGTAAAACTTCGGGAAAATATTTTTAGCCCACTCATTATTTCTGTCTACCTAAGTGTGGGGAAAATAACCCTCCTCTAAGGCAATGTGTTCAGGCTGCCCTCGCTCTTCCTTGTCTAGAATATGCATTTGTGCACAGGAGAGGTTTCCATTGTTTTCCATTCCGACTGCTTTGATTCTCACCATTTTGTTTTACATTCTTACTCAAGACCAATTTTATCCCTTCCCCCTCTCTCCAGTCTCCTTACATTGTTAAACGTTTAAAATAATAGCAGTCGTGTTGGTGGGGGAAGGGAGCAGGAAGCCAAAAACTCATTTCTTCTCCCTCCCCCTTCTGGCAAGTCGAGAGAAATAATATAACATAATATATAGATGTGATTCCTTGGGGGTGGGGGTGGGGAATGATTGTGGGTGGTGCGGAAAATTCTGGTAGTTTCTTTGCAAAAGGTCTGAAAATACAAACCCACCCCCTGCCTGCAGTACGCATGTGCAGCAGACCTATTATGGTGGTGCGTTGTGGGGGAGGGAGGGGAATTTGAGAAAAAATAAATATATGTGTGAGAGATTGATGGTGAGATTAGAAGAAGAGAGGGGCGGGCAGGAGGCGAGGCTTCGGTCGAGACTCCTCCCGCTTGCTCGGGCGGCCAGGCTCCGCCCTGCGCCCTCCGGCCCCCGCCTCTTTCCTCCCTGCCTCCCTGAGATCCGAGCCGGGGATGTGGGAGAGTCTGGGCTCCAGGCCAGCATTGAGTGGCTGCTGAGACCGAGGTTGGGACTTAGATTTGCTTTATTACCCGTCCTTGCTTCTCCTCGCCATTCTCGCCTTGCCTCTCCCGCCACCGACGTCTGCCCAAGTTCGGGAACCTCCCGCTGGGGTGGGGAGTAGAGTGAACGGGCTTGTGCACCACCCCTGGCTGGTGGTGGCCAAGGCCGTGTCCCTGATCCTTAGCCAGTTGGCCTGCCCTTGCCACTGCCCCGGCAGCCTCCGTTTCCATGTTCAAGTCAACCGAAGTCCCTGGGGCCAGGGGGAGCCGGCTGCTGGGGCATGGCGCCTTCCTTGCTGACTTCCTATTACAGTCCCCATTCCGTTTCACACCCGGGCTCTGGGCAGCCACCTCCCTGCACACACGCACACAGTCCTAGAGTGTCTTCCTGCACAAGGGGACACAGGATGCTGTAGTTAGCAGGAAAGGTGGCACTGAAGGAAGGAGAGGCTCCGACTCTGAGGCAGTGGAAACGGAGGCCTCTGGTGTTAATTGTGGCTAATTTTCCGTTGGCTGTTGAGGGAGGGAGAAAGGATTGTGTGTCCTAGAGCTAGGGGCTGGGCCAAGCCCAGGCTTTCCCGTCCTGCGTTGGCTGCCTCTCTCTGTACTAGACAGGTCTGGCTGGTTAGTCTAGTGCTTGGTAGGGGAGGGAGGCGAACCAGAGCCCCAGGGCGCCAGGTCTGTGGGGCATCCTGTCTTCCTTTATGTGGGGTAACTCTCCATCCCCCAAGCCTTCACAGAGTGAGTGACACCTTCACAGATATGGGGTGGGGGGACATCAGGGAAGAGCCTGCCTGGGGCCCTCTGATAGAGACATCTGGGGAGAAAGCCAGGGACCTAGCCCTGCCGAAGCAGGTACAGGCCCTCCTCTGGGTTTGTGGGCCTGAGTGTGTGTGGGTGGGTGCGCGCGCGCGTGTGCTTTTGAGAAGGCATGTGCTGGGTGTGTCTGTCTGCGCCTATATCTTTGTTTGGGTCTCCCATACTGCCTATAGATGAATGGGTCAGGATATCTGGAACAAAATACGGAGGTGAAGGGTGAGATGGGGAAACAAAGGGTATGGCCCCCAAGTTCTCAGAGGGAGCGGGGAGATGGGAATGGAATTGAAGGTAGGTTTTAGGCTACTTGGGAGGAGGAATGTTTAGGTAATTGTGGAGACTTTCTCCTGTCGAATTAGGGTGTGATGAAGGAGGCAGACACTGTGATCCTGTGGGCAAGAAGTAAAAATGACCAGCTGAGGATTTCTTTTCCTCCAGGACTGTGTTGGGGTGACAGGATGCCTGGTAATTATCCGAGGAAATGTAAATAGAGGCCTCCCTCTTGGCAAAAGGATGTCAGGGCCCCAGGGTGTTAGTGTGAGAACCCAGGTGTCCACCTTTGGCTCTCCCTCCCCAGCATCTGGCTTAGGGAGCTGCCAGCTTGTGTCTCCCCACTCCAAGTGCTGGGGTCAGGCCAGGCCAGCAGCTGGGCATGGCTTCCCCAGTTCCTGGGCAGGATGCCAGCTGGCGAAGTGAGGGGGAAGGCAGGAGGAGCCCTGGCGGTGACTGAAAGGACCTGCCACAGTCAGAGCCCATGGCCTGGAGCCTGGTCCCTTGTTAGTAGGAAGGGAGGGAGGGGAGTGGTTTGGCTGCTCTTCTCTTCTGACCCCTGACCTCCCATTCAGAATCAGAGCATCCCAGAGTACTCGAAACACTTTCTGTTTGCATCCAGTGAGGGGAGGCAGGGCTTGGAGGAGTTAATGCCCCAGTTCCTAGAGAGCGGGAACTGCCGTGGTGGGGAAGGGGCAAGTTGAGGGGCCTCACAGGCTGGAAACCTAGAGGCTTAGGTTTTCTGATGCTTTTTGCTTCAAAGATAAGGATGACATTCGGCTGCTGCCTTCAGCATTGGGTGTGAAGAAGAGAAAACGAGGACCCAAGAAGCAGAAGGAGAACAAGCCAGGAAAACCCCGAAAACGCAAGAAGCGTGTAAGTGTCAAGAATTCCTAACTCTGTGGCAAGGCTCAGGAGACCCATTCTCAGAGACCTACATTTTCTCTGGTCCTGATTACTGGTGTGGGGGTGGGGGTCTGAAGCCAGGGAGGCTTGATCCCCTGGGCCCCCCAATTCCCTGCCACTGTTGGCCTGTATCTCAGGGATCTGGGACCCTAACTTCATTCACTGCAACCTAGTGAAGAGCCTTGTTGTCAGCGTGACTTGCCTCAGCAGCAAAGAGAAGCAGTTGAAAGCACAAGCTCCGGAAGAAGACTGTATGAATTCAAGAGTCCAACATTCCTCTGTCTAGGATACCAGGCCGTTTATTTGGCTCTCTGTGCCTTAGTTTCCTCATCTGTAAAAGTAGATAATGGCCGGGTACAGTGCTTCACGCTTGTAATCCCAGCACTTTGGGAGGCTGAGCCGGGTGGATCATTTGAGGTCAGGAGTTCGAGACCAGCCTGGCCAACATGGTGAAACTCCATCTCTACTAAAAATACAAAAATTAGCCGGGCGCAGTAGTACATGTCTGTAATCCCAGCTACTCAGGAGGCTGAGGCAGGAGGATTGCTTGAACCTGGGAGGTGGAGGTTGCAGTGAGCTGAGATCACACCACTGCATTCCAGCCTGGGTGACAGAGCAAGACTCCATCTCCAAAAAAAAAAAAAAAAAAAAAAGGGAGATAAAAAATTAGTTACTATCACATATGATTGTTGTGAAGATTAAAAGAGATAAGATATGGTATGTGCTGAGAACAGTTTCTGGCAGTGGTAGGGATGAATAAATGTTATTTTTATTTCTTTTTCTTAGGACAGTGAGGAGGAATTTGGTTCTGAGCGAGATGAGTACCGGGAGAAGTCAGAGAGTGGGGGCAGTGAATATGGAACCGGACCAGGTCGGAAACGAAGAAGGAAGCACCGAGAAAAAAAGGAGAAGAAGACAAAGCGGCGGAAAAAGGGGGAGGGAGATGGGGGGCAAAAGGTGAGTAGAATTAGGGAATGAGAGGAGAAATCCGCATTAAAGATGGGCATGAGGAGGGGAGGAATGGAGACTGGACTGGAGAATGGAGCAAGAAGCAAGAAAGCCCAGGGAAGCTGGTGGGTTGGTAGACAGGCATGTGTGGGGCCTGGAATAGGGCCTGGAGGAGCACCTACCTCACCAAAGCCCCTCTTCCGCAGCAAGTGGAACAGAAGTCATCAGCAACTCTGCTTCTGACCTGGGGCCTGGAGGATGTGGAGCATGTGTTCTCTGAGGAGGATTACCACACACTCACCAACTACAAAGCCTTCAGCCAGTTCATGAGGTGCGGTAAGACTGGGGAATCCTCGCTAATAGACACTTTTAATTTGAGGGAGGCCCTGGACCCCTTGGAATCTGATGAAAGCTATGAAACTGCTCTCCAGAGAATTCACGGCATATACACACCCAATTCCACACGTCATTTCAGGGAACTCTTGGACTCGTAAGGATCCAAGAACCCCAGTTAAGACCTCTTCACTGTGGGGCAAGGGGTGGAGGGGCGATCATGATACCAGTGCTGGGTTAGAGAACTCTTTCGCAACAGAATGAAGTGAGGACAGAATATAGTGAGCCCTCCGCTGCCCCAACAGCTCAATCTTCTGCTCTGTGACTTCTCTCTAGCTGGACCTGAGAGATACCATCAGTATTCCTAAACTTCCTTTGCTCACTTAGCAGGTCCTGTGCCCCTTCTTTAGGCTGGTAATAATGGAGGGTCCATTGCTGGCCGTGGGACCTGAGCTTCAGTGGCTCCTGAAGAAGGGTAGAGAATAGTAGAGTAGAAAATAACAGAGATGGGCCGGGTCCGGTGGCTCACAGCTGTAATTCCAGCACTTTCGGAGGCCAAGGCAGGTGGATCACTTGAGGTCAGGAGTTCAAGACCATCCCGACCAACATGGCGAAACCCCGTCTCTACTAAATACAAAAAAAATTAGCTAGGCGTGGTGGCACGTGCCTGTAATCTCAGCTACTCAGGAGGCTAGGCAGGAGAATCACTTGAACCCAGGAGGTGAATGTTGTAGCGAGCCAAGATCACGCCACTGTGCTCTAGCCTGGGCAATGAGCGAAACTCCATCTCAGAAAAAGAAAAGAAAAAGAAAACAGTGCGGACGTATTTTTGGGGAGGAGGCACTTTAACATATCAGTTCAGTGCTCTGGAGGCAGCTGCTGAGGTTCAGATCTGGTTACATTTTGGGCAAGCAACTTAACCTCTTCAATCCTCAATTTTCTCTTCTATAAACTGGGAATAGTAAGATATACCTCATAGGAATCTGTGTGGGTTGGGTGGGATAGTGAATGGAAAGCACAGTACAATCAGTGCCTAGCCCCTAGGGAACATTCAGTAACTGATGACTGTCATTAGTAATGTTGTCTCACCCACCTCACTGCTGAACATGGGGCTTTTCTCAGCACCATGGCTCACCCGTGTCAGCACAAGTGTTTAGCACCCCACCCCAGAGCAGAACCAGCTATCTCTTTCACACTTCGTCCTACAGAAGCCCATCTTCAGGGCCCATGGAACTTACTAGTAAAATGCAGAGAATCATAGCAACTCAAGGGTATTATTGTGAGGACGAGATAAGGTATAATGTATGTGAAAGTGTTTTATGAACTGTAAAGTAGTATACAAAAGTAAAGTATTTTTGTTAATTTTATCTTAACCTTTTATGTTTTTCAGTTTTATTTTGCTGTTTTTTTATTTTCCTTTTTTTTTTGAGACGGAGTTTTACTCCGTCGCCAGGCTGGAGTGTAGTGGCGTAATCTCGGCTCACTGCAACCTCTACCTCCCAGGTCCAAGCAATTCTCCTGCCTCAGCCTCCCGAGTAGCTGGGACTACAGGCACGTGCCACCATGCCCCGCTAATTTTTGTATTTTTAGTAGAGACGGGGTTTCACCATGTTGGCCAGGATGGTCTCCATCTCTTGACCTCATGATCCGCCTGCCTTGGCCTCCCAAAGTGTTGGGATTACTGGCATGAGCCACCGTGCCCGGCCTATTTCCCTTTTTTTAAAGACAGGGTCTCATTCTGTCATTCAGGCTGCAGTGCAGTGGTATGATCATAGCTCACTGTATCCTCCAACTTCTGGGCTCAAGTCATCCTCCTGCCTCAGCCTCAGGCGCCACCACACCCAGCTAATTATTTTTTTTATTTTAATTTTAGTTTTTTGTAGAGACAGGATCTCGTTTTGTTGCCCAGGCTTATCTCACAGTCCTGGGCTCAAGCGATCCTCCTGCTTCAGCCTGGGATTACAGGCATGAGCCACCGTGCCTGGTCTGAATTTCTTTTTTAATGCTTTTTTAAACCTTTTTTTTCCCCACTTTTTTAAAACTTATTTTTATTTGTTTAGTTTCTTAAATGGCTGTTTTTCCTAATAGGACATATTCTCACCACCCAGGAATCCTAGCATGTACATAGATTTAATTGATGAGGGGAGATGGCAGTGTTCCCAGACCATCTGTGAAGGGTCCGAGTTTTCTGCTTCTGTATTTACAGGCCCCTGATTGCTAAGAAGAATCCTAAGATCCCAATGTCTAAGATGATGACCATCCTTGGGGCCAAATGGAGAGAGTTCAGCGCCAACAACCCCTTCAAGGGGTCAGCAGCTGCTGTGGCGGCGGCAGCGGCAGCAGCAGCAGCAGCTGTAGCTGAGCAGGTGTCAGCTGCTGTCTCATCGGCCACCCCCATAGCACCCTCCGGACCCCCCGCCCTTCCACCACCCCCTGCTGCTGATATCCAGCCCCCACCCATCCGAAGAGCCAAAACCAAAGAGGGCAAAGGTAGGGAACTCTCTTCCAACAACTATCATTTCACCTTCCAAACCACATGTCTTCACATTAGAGTCTGGAACTCTCGCCTTCCCAGCCCTGATTGCCGGAGGAGAGATGCTTTCCAGGAAGTGGGGCTTAGTGAAACCACAGCCCACAGAGGAGTCCAGAGGCTCCTGTGACCTCCATTATTCCAGGATATCATGACCTCTCCTTTTTCCTCTTCTCACCCGACTCCTCATTCAGGTCCAGGCCATAAGAGGCGGAGTAAGAGCCCCCGAGTGCCTGATGGACGCAAGAAGCTTCGGGGAAAGAAAATGGCACCGCTCAAAATAAAACTAGGGCTGCTGGGTGGCAAGAGGAAGAAAGGAGGCTCGGTGAGTGACCCGTCCCTGTCTGCTAAACACCTGGGGGCCAAGGATCCAGAGACAGGGATCCGTGAGGGCCAAGGATCCAGAGACAGGGATCCGTGAGGGCCAAGGATCCAGAGACAGGGATCTGTGAGGGACGATGGAGCAGGAAGCCAAAGGCCTGGGGAGGGCGTGGAATGAAGTCTGCCTCACTGACGGCCACGGGGCTATGGGCAGTATGTTTTTCAGAGTGACGAAGGTCCTGAACCAGAGGCTGAGGAGTCAGACCTGGACAGTGGCAGTGTCCACAGTGCCTCAGGCCGGCCTGATGGCCCTGTCCGCACCAAGAAACTAAAGAGAGGCCGGCCAGGAAGGAAGAAGAAGAAGGGTAAGGAGTGTTGACTGCGTGTGATCCTGTCAGTGGGCCGTCCTCTCATTCTTATTTTCAATTTTGACTTATCTCTTCAACCCTTCTCCCTCTCTCTCTCCATCTCCCCCTGCCCCACTTCCTTATCCCTCCACCGGGGTATATGACAGTCCTGGGCTGTCCTGCAGTGGCCGGGGAGGAGGAGGTTGATGGCTACGAGACGGATCACCAGGATTACTGTGAGGTGTGCCAGCAGGGTGGGGAAATTATTCTGTGTGACACCTGCCCTCGTGCCTACCACCTCGTCTGCCTTGATCCTGAGCTTGACCGGGCTCCCGAGGGCAAATGGAGCTGCCCTCACTGTGTGAGTACCTAATGCCAGCATCTGATGGCCCTGAGGAGCCCACCCATCTCTTTCCCCCTTGGTTTCACTTACCCTCTTCCTACCCCCAGATGGCTGGACTTCTTAGTAACAGATGTCCAAGTGTCTAGGATCCTAATGTATTCCTTTCTCCCACACCTTTGCTCCCAGAATCAGCATTTCTGAAACTGGAGTGTCCTTTTCTTTAGTTCCCACCAGTCTTCTCTGCACTTCTAGGATTCAGGTGTCCTGTCTTTGCCTGTATCTTCCAGTTTCATTCCTTAACTTCTGCCATCTGTCTGTGTGTCTGTCCTTGGCCCCCTAGGAGAAGGAGGGGGTCCAGTGGGAGGCCAAGGAGGAAGAGGAGGAATACGATGAGGAGGGAGAGGAGGAAGGGGAGAAGGAGGAGGAGGATGATCACATGGAGTACTGCCGCGTGTGCAAGGACGGCGGGGAGCTGCTGTGCTGTGACGCGTGCATCTCTTCCTACCACATTCATTGTCTAAACCCTCCCCTGCCTGACATTCCCAATGGTGAATGGCTGTGTCCCCGATGCACAGTGAGTGGAAACATCTCCCCTCTGTATTTACTGTCGGGCCTGATCCCTTCCCCCATCCCTGGGGCCTACATGTCCAGCTTTTCCTTTCTCTGCACTCCCTCACTCTGTGGGACCCCTATCCTGTCATCTAATGATGGGTTCTGTCTGCCTCTTTTTTTTCCTCCTCCTTGTACGTGTCCATCCCAAAGTGCCCTGTGCTGAAGGGTCGAGTGCAGAAGATCCTGCATTGGCGGTGGGGGGAGCCGCCTGTAGCAGTGCCAGCCCCTCAACAGGCAGACGGGAATCCAGATGTCCCAGCCCCGCGTCCTCTTCAAGGCAGATCAGAGCGAGAGTTCTTTGTCAAGTGGGTGGGACTATCCTACTGGCACTGCTCCTGGGCCAAGGAGCTTCAGGTACTAGGACCTTTGCTTTCCCTCTCCCCCATGACCTCATTTCGTGCCATCCTCTCCCTCTCTTACTCCTCTGTTTGCTGGGTTCCCATACCCTTCATTTTCTCTCGTTTCAGGCCTCTGGCCTTTATACCCTACTTGCTTAGTTTCCATCTGTGGTTCTTTTGGTCTACAGTCCTCTTTCTCTCAGTCTCCATTAGCTTTCTTCCCTCAGATATAGCATAGCCTTTCTTAACTTCACGTCCTTCGTTATCTGTTTTTTTCCATGTTTTATAATATTCCTGGATGGGCATAGTGGCTCACACCTATAATCCTAGCACTTTGGGAGACCAGGGCAGGAGGATTGCTTGAGACCAGCCTAGGCAACATAGTGAAACCCCATCTCTATTAAAAAAAAAATTATCGGCTGGGTGCGGTGGCTCACGCCTATAATCCCAGCACTTTGGAGGCCGAGGCAGGCGGATCACCTGAGGTCAGGAGATCGAGACCGTCCTGGCTAACACAGTGAAACCCCGTCTCTACTAAAAATACAAAACATGTAGCCAGGCATGGTGGTGGGCGCCTGTAATCCCAGCTAGTCGGGAGGCTGAGGCAGGAGAATGGCGTGAACCCGGGAGGCGGAGCTTGCAGTGAGCCAAGATTGTGCCCCTGCACTTCAGCCTGGGCAATAGAGCGAGACTCCATCTCAAAAAAAAAAAAAAAACTCAATGTTTATAACCCCATTCCCTATCTCCTTTTGCTCATAACAGCCCCACCCAGGCCATGGCTTCTGAAACTGTTGCATCTATTTCATTTTATTTATTCTGTTTTGGCTTTGACTCATTTGTCTCTGATCCATCCTTTTTCTTTTTTTTTTTTTTGGGACGGAGTCTCGCTGTGTCACCCAGGCTGGAATGCAGTGGCCGGATCTCAGCTCACTGCAAGCTCTGCCTCCCGGGTTTACGCCATTCTCCTGCCTCAGCCTCCCGAGTAGCTGGGACTACAGGCGCCCGCCACCTCGCCCGGCTAGTTTTTTGTATTTTTTAGTAGAGACGGGGTTTCACCGTGTTGGCCAGGATGGTCTCGATCTCCTGACCTCGTGATCCGCCCATCTCGGCCTCCCAAAGTGCTAGGATTACAGGCTTGAGCCACCGCGCCCGGCTTCCATCCTTTTTCTTTCTTTCTTTTTTCTTTTCTTTTTTTTTGAGATGGAGTTTTGTTCTTGTTGCCCAGGCTGGAGTGCAGTGGCACGATCTTGGCTCACTGCAACCTCTGCCTCCTGGGTTCAAGCGATTCTCCTGCCTCAGCCTCTCGAGTAGCTGGGATTACAGGCGCCCGCCACCACACCCGGCTAATTTTGTATTTTTAGTAGAGATGGGGTTTCTCCATGTTGATCAGGCTGATCTTGAACTCCCAGCCTTAGGTGATCCACCTGCCTCAGCCTTCCAAAGTGCTGGGACGCGCCTGTTATTCTCTTATTGCCCAGGCTGGAGTGCAGTGGCACAACCTTGGCTCGCTACAGCCTCCACCTCATGGGTTCAAGCGATTCTCCTGCCTCAGCCTCCTGAGTATCTGGGATTACAGGCGTGTGCCACCATACCTGGCTAATTTATGTATTTTTGGTAGAGACAGGGTTTCTCCATGTTGACCAGGCTGGTCTTGAACTCCTGACTTCAGGTGATCCGCCCGCCTGAGCCTCCCAAAGTGCTGGGATTACAGGCATGAACCACCGCGCCCGGCCAATCCATCCTTTTTCATAGCTCCCTTTCCCTGTCCCGTTCCTCCTGCTGGCCTCTTCCGCGTTCCCTGTTGTCCTCTGTGAGTGTGAGGCCTGTCTCTTCCCCATTTTTCTGTGCCCTATCAGCTGGAAATCTTCCATTTGGTTATGTACCGAAACTACCAGCGGAAGAATGACATGGATGAGCCCCCGCCCCTGGACTATGGCTCCGGCGAGGATGATGGGAAGAGTGACAAGCGTAAAGTGAAAGACCCACACTATGCTGAGATGGAGGAGAAGTACTATCGTTTTGGCATCAAGCCAGAGTGGATGACTGTCCACCGTATCATCAACCACAGGTGAATCCTTGGCCCTGGGAAGTAAGACCTGGTATATGACACTATTCTTACCATGGTGATGGCCTCATGTTAGTATTTGCTGATTAACCAGGTAATTGATCTAACCTTGATAACCTCTGCTGCAGCTCCAGCCTTTCTGGCCTTGTTTCCTCCAGGGGAATGGGAGAAAACAGGAGGAAAGTTCGGCCAGGCAGTGCCTCTTTTGTCATCTCTAGTGGCATAAGACATAGCACATGAGTCTGGGGATGAGGGCATGAAAGCGAAACATGAGAGACATAATTCATCCAGACCAGTGTTTTGAATATTTCTTCTTCATGGTACTTATTACTGCCTAAAGTTACGGTATTTATTTAGTTATTTCAATGCTGTCTTCCCCACGAGACTCTGAGTTCCATGAGGAAAATACTTAGTGATTAGGTGAACAAATGATACAAGGAGGGATCTCCAGGAATGTTTTGTGATAGTTGATTTTTAGGATACCATCCTGAGAAGGTTAGGCTGCCAGGTTAACTATTCTCACGTCCCTTCCAGCGCCCACTGTTGAAGGTTGGGTGACAAATTTTGTGTGTTTGCTGGTAATTGCGTTTCTCAGGCCTTCTTGCTGTTTGTGATCTGTGCAATTTTTTTTTCCTCCTGCTCCTCCTTATGGCCTCCTGCCCCACAGTGTGGATAAAAAGGGGAATTACCACTATCTAGTAAAATGGAGGGACTTGCCATATGACCAGTCCACGTGGGAGGAAGATGAAATGAATATCCCTGAATATGAAGAACATAAGCAAAGCTACTGGAGACACCGGTGAGGGAACGAGCCTGTGGATTCGAGGGATTCTGAGGATGAGGGCATGAAAGCTAAAACTCCAGCATAAAATGAGGGTATAGAAGGGACTGATTCAACCTGGAGTTCAGGGCAATGGCCACCTGGGCTGGGTTGTTTGAGATGGGCTTGCTAAAGAGGTAGTGTAAGGAACAGAAACAAGATCTGGCTGAGTAGTGGAGAAGAGAATGTTCAAGAGTGGGGAGGGCTGGTTCTTGAGGTGAAATCCAAAGGGCAAGGGTAAAAAGCCTGGGAAAATGGAAATATGGGAAAATCTAGGTCATGGACAGTGGGAAGTAGGTCTGGAATGGGTTCAGAAAAGAAAGCGTAGGACTCCCAAAGATGAGGCCTCATTCAGAGCCACTCTTTTTCCAGAGAACTAATTATGGGGGAAGACCCTGCCCAGCCCCGGAAGTATAAGAAGAAGAAGAAGGAGCTACAGGGTGATGGGCCTCCCAGTTCTCCCACTAATGATGTGAGTCCTCTCAGTTGGCATTTCTTGTTTCTGGAGCCATGGTGATCGAAGATTTCCCAAGGGCTATTGATGGAACTTCCCAGAGATTCAGTAACCTCTGTGAACAGTAGCTCTTCCTTCAGCGTCCAGCCTTGCCCCGAGAGTGGTTAAGAATTTTGGCCTAAAAGGGCAGGGGCTGCTAGAGATAGCCCACTGGCGGCTCTTTCACCAGCTGGCCCTCCCCCATGGTGCTGCTGGATATTGTCTTATAGAATGAGGGGGAGGGGCTGAAGGCTAGATGTGAGAACTTTTGTAAACTCAGGCCATAGTAGAGGGAATTGTAATCCAACTTGGTATCCATGCCAGGGAGGAGGAGACTAAAACTGGAGGAGCTGCTGGCTATTTCCTTGAGCTTTCTGACTTCTTGTCTCTGTAGCCTACCGTGAAATATGAGACTCAGCCACGGTTTATCACAGCCACTGGAGGCACCCTGCACATGTACCAGCTGGAAGGGCTGAACTGGCTGCGCTTCTCCTGGGCCCAGGGCACTGATACCATTCTAGCTGATGAGATGGGGCTGGGCAAGACCATACAAACTATTGTCTTCCTCTACTCACTCTATAAGGAGGTGCTGGACTCTAGGACCTTGAAGGGGACCGCCTGGACTGGGGAAGTGGGGAGGGGGAAGATGGAGGGGTGTGGCTGGCAGAGGACTAGGGTATACAGCCTCTAGCCTAGACTTATGCTGCCTCATTCTTGACTCCCAGGGCCACACAAAAGGTCCCTTCCTGGTGAGTGCCCCACTCTCTACCATCATTAACTGGGAGCGGGAGTTCCAGATGTGGGCACCCAAATTCTATGTGGTGACATACACGGGTGACAAGGATAGCCGGGCCATCATTCGTGAGAATGAATTCTCCTTTGAGGACAATGCCATCAAAGGGGGCAAGAAAGCTTTTAAGATGAAGGTAAGCCCCTCTACCTCATATCCTCTAAGACCCTCAAATCTGTCACTTCTTTTTCTCAGCCAGGAATTCAGTTTCTCTATTCCCCTCTCTCCTCACCTTTCTCCTCTTCCTCCACCTGTCCTCATATCTCTCTGCACTACCATCCTAGAGATGTGGCAGGTACTCCCAAGGGCGTACATGGATCTGTCAGTACTGGAAATGTGGGCAGAGGTTTAGGGGCCATGGTCTGTAATCCCTGCTCGGAGAACAGAGTAATGGCTCCTGTTGGGAGCCACAGTCAGGAAAAGGTGTCTGGAGGTCTAAGTCCATGGTTGTCAGGTGGCAGCTGAATGGGCAATAATTATGTTGGCAGAGGGAGGCACAGGTGAAGTTCCACGTTCTCCTGACATCGTATGAGCTGATCACCATTGATCAGGCAGCACTCGGTTCTATCCGCTGGGCCTGTCTTGTGGTAGATGAGGCCCATCGACTCAAGAACAACCAGTCCAAGGTGAGTGAGGTTCCCAGACCTCAAAAACTTGAAATGGTGGGCTCCTACTTGCCCTGATCCTTAAAAAAATCAAACAAAGTTCTGGGGATTTTCTGTAGTCTGGGAGGACGTCCAGGTTGGAAGAGGGAGAGGGCCAAAGATTTGGGGCCTCTGATCCTGAGTGAAATGGGAACTGGGACAGAGAAAGGCTGATGCTGTGGGTCGGTCATTTGCCACTAATAAGCCCATTCTCCTGCCTTGCCTTGCCCCATCTTTTAGTTTTTCAGGGTTCTCAATGGTTACAAGATAGATCATAAGTTGCTGCTGACAGGAACCCCATTGCAGAATAATCTGGAGGAGCTCTTCCATCTCCTGAACTTCCTCACCCCAGAGAGATTTAAGTAAGTGGTTCCCTAAAGGTAGTTGGCAGAGATGAGAGGTGGAGCAGATGAAATGAGCCGGTAGAGGATTAATCTGAGGTGGTAAGCCTGAGATCAGCGGCAAATAACTTGCCAACCTGTTAATTTTCTTCTCTCCTGGCTCTTAGCAACTTGGAGGGCTTCCTGGAGGAGTTTGCTGACATATCCAAAGAGGACCAGATCAAGAAACTGCATGATTTGCTGGGGCCACATATGCTACGGAGGCTCAAGGCAGATGTCTTTAAGAACATGCCAGCCAAGACAGAGCTCATCGTTCGAGTGGAGCTAAGCCCCATGCAGAAGTAAGATGCAAGACAAGCTGCCTGGAGTAGGGGTTGGGGATTGATGGGAGCATTCCAAGTGCAATATCATAATTGCTTCCTTTATTTATGTTTCTTTTACACCCCTTTCCTGGCCTTTAGGAAATACTACAAGTACATCCTGACTCGAAATTTTGAGGCCTTGAATTCACGAGGTGGTGGGAACCAGGTGTCGCTGCTTAATATCATGATGGATCTTAAGAAGTGCTGCAACCATCCATACCTTTTTCCCGTGGCTGCTATGGTAGATACACAGAGCAGGAGCTGATCAAATGTCCACTCTCAGAAAACATGGGTGGGGAGTAGTGGGGAGGTGGGTATTGAGCCACAAGGGTGGAGTGTGCTGGAAGGCCAGGGACTGGGTCTCTGAGAGCAGTAGGAATCGGGAATGTGTGGAAGCTGGATCTGGGCATCTGGCCTTCTAGGCATGGTAAGAATATGGGGAGATGTTTCCAACTGACCCTGTCCTCCTCCTCTCTCCTCCCTTTTCAGGAATCCCCCAAACTCCCCAGTGGGGCTTATGAGGGTGGGGCACTTATTAAGTCATCTGGGAAGCTCATGCTGCTCCAGAAGATGCTGCGAAAGCTGAAGGAGCAAGGACACCGAGTACTCATCTTCTCGCAGGTGACCTGTGCCCTTAGCTGTCTACATCTGCTTCCTCTTCCCTCTCCTCGTCCTCCACACTTTAATTTCTTACCATCTTCCTGTGGCTGCTCCAGTGTGACAAATGAGGAGATTCCTCATGTAAGAGTTTCTTTTTTTTTGAGACAGAGTTTCTCTCTTGTTCCCTGACTGGAGTGCAGGGGCGTGATCTGGGCTCACTGCAACCTCTGCTTCCTGGGTTCAAGTGATTCTCCTGCCTCAGTCTCCCGAGTAGCTGGGATTACAGGTGCCCACCTCCATGCCTGGCTAATTTTTTGTATTTTTAGTAGAGACGAGGTTTCACCATGTTGGTCAGGATGGTCTCGATCTCCTGACCTCAGGTGATCTGCCCACCTCGGTCTCCCAAAGTACTGGGATTACTGTATAGCAAGTTTATTCTTGGCCTCTGATGCCTGTTCTTAAGGCTATTGGAAGTTGAAGTCCAGCTTTAGTTCCTTTTCAGCTGCATGGGGGAAAGGTGAGGGTGAGCCTCCTTAGAGATTGGTATTATTTCTTCATCTTACTGGCAGGTGAGGGTGAAGGCACAGACCCTCTGGAAATGTGATGAAAACTCTGGGTCCACTCTCCAGACAACTGTACATACAATGACACAAATTTGTATGGATTTTCAGGGGGTTCCTAGATTTCCCTGAAACCTTTTCATGGGTCACAGAGAGCCTCTGCCTTAGGAGAAACAATCTCAAATCCAGAGAGTGTGACAAGAGGGCCAGACATGGTGGCTCACACCTGTTATCCCAGCACTTTGGGAGGCTGAGGCAGGAGGATCACTTGAGGTCAGGAGTTTGAGACCTGGCCAACATGGTGAAACCCCGTCTCTACTAAAAATACAAAAATTAGTTGGGCGTGGTGGCGCACACCTGTAGTCCCAGCTGCTAGGGACTCTGAGGTAGTAGGATCACTTGAACCTGGGAATGGAGGTTGCAGTGAGCTGAGGTGGCACCACTGCACTCCAGCTTGGGCAATAGAATGAGACTCCATCTCAAAAATAAAAATAAAAAAGAGTGTGTGACAAGAATGTGGAATAAAGAGGAGCTTAAGACAGGGCAGGGGTTCAGGTGTAAGGATCAGGGTTGAGTTTGTATAAAGGAGTAGTTAGAATAAGCAAGCTATCCCACCACCTCATTATTCCAGACTCCATCCTTTTCTCTTGCTCTAGATGACCAAAATGTTAGACTTGCTTGAGGACTTCTTAGACTATGAAGGCTACAAGTATGAACGCATCGATGGTGGCATCACTGGTGCCCTGAGGCAGGAGGCCATCGATCGGTTTAATGGTGAGGGAGATACACTGGTCCCTGGTGGGTGTGGGAGGCCTGAGAAACCTGTGATAGGTCTCTGGGATGGGAGGGGGACTGGCTTGGGGGACATTGGAAACTTAGGCTTTGAGTTGGGGGCATGGTTGTTTGTCATCAGAGAACGTCTAGGAGCAGGTGGACAGACCTACTGGGTACAAGAAAAACCTGATCCAACTCTCACCTCCTAGCTCCTGGAGCCCAACAATTCTGCTTCCTCCTGTCCACCCGAGCTGGAGGCCTGGGCATCAATCTGGCCACTGCTGACACTGTCATCATCTTTGATTCTGACTGGAACCCCCATAATGACATTCAGGTGGGAACTCGCATCCTGGAGCCCCTGCACCATTAGCAAGGAGATGTGGGTCCATGGAGGAGGGTGTCATGTTCCAGGGTCAGAAATAAATCGCTTCTAGGAGGAAAGAAGACCCTTCTTCAGCAGCCTTCTTTCCTGAGCATGTGGGCAGCTTCTCCCCAGCCACTCCCCTGGCCCACCCGCCACTTTCTCTTGCCCCTGCAGGCCTTTAGCCGGGCTCATCGGATTGGCCAGGCCAACAAAGTGATGATTTACCGGTTTGTGACTCGTGCGTCAGTGGAAGAGCGAATCACACAAGTGGCCAAAAGAAAGATGATGCTGACACACCTGGTTGTGCGGCCTGGGCTGGGCTCCAAGGCAGGCTCCATGTCTAAGCAGGAGCTTGACGACATTCTCAAATTTGGCACTGAAGAGCTGTTCAAGGATGAAAACGAGGGTGAGAACCTTTTCTGCAGCTCCGTGAAAGCAGGCCCCTGCTCTCCCAGGAGTACTTCTCAGCCCCCTGAGGAGGGAAAAACAACTCTTCTCTGCAGCCTTTGAAGGAAGGAGAGCCTTCTTTTAGTGGCTCTTGGAGGAAGGTTGACCTCTTTCTTTGCCTGTAGGGTTAAAACAAACAAAACATAAACCTTTCAACATTGGCTCCCAGGGAAAGAGCCTTCTCCAGGGCTTCTGCGAAAAGGATGCAGAATAGAAGCTTTCCCATCAGCCTTTCTAAACTTTGGAACCCAAAGTTCCCTGTTTTCCCTCTCACCAGGGGAGAACAAGGAGGAAGACAGCAGTGTGATTCATTATGACAATGAGGCCATCGCTCGGCTGTTGGACCGGAACCAGGATGCAACTGAGGACACTGACGTGCAGAACATGAATGAGTATCTCAGCTCCTTCAAAGTGGCACAGTACGTCGTGCGGGAAGAAGACAAGGTGAGAGGCTCTGGGGGCCAGACATTATCTATCCCAGGCCATCTCCAAAAGGCAGTATCCTTTACTTGGCCTTGAAATAGGAGGGTCCGTCCCCCTTAGGACAGTAGTGGACCTCAAATAACTTCTTCGTCTAATAGGTGAGACTGGACTTCAGAGAGAAACGTAGGCACAGACAGTACTGGTAAACACAGAAGGGTACCTTCTGAGACAGTGCAGGAGAAACACTGTCAGAGGGATTAGAGGAGAGATTTAGAAAACATGAGGAGAGCACGCTGCAGGTAAGAGATGGCATGGAACATGCACAATGTCCAGAAAATGTATGCAGAGTCACGAAGCTCCAGGAGTGGGGAGACCGGATTGGGCTGACGCAGCAGAGTAGGGATTTCATTGCCATGGAAAGATTAGCAAAGAGGGAGACCCCCAGTGTTCATTCATTCTGCTGCCCTTCAGATTGAGGAAATTGAGCGAGAGATCATCAAGCAGGAGGAGAATGTGGACCCTGACTACTGGGAGAAGCTGCTGAGGCATCACTATGAGCAACAGCAGGAAGACCTAGCCCGGAATCTAGGCAAGGGCAAGCGGGTTCGCAAGCAAGTTAACTACAATGATGCTGCTCAGGAAGACCAAGGTGAGGACTGCCCCAGATGCAGGCAATAAAAGCGGGGGAAGTGATGATGAGAAGGGACTTAAGGCTGGGGCTACTTAGAGGGTAAGAGAGAAGCCTAGAAGTCAGAGCCTTTCCCTGCTAAAAGGGAAAGACGTAAGGTAGAGTCATTAGGAACTACCCGGAGGCCAGGTGGGTTAGCAGGTGATTTAAACTATTTGGTGGTTGCACAGGCATCCTATGGACACCCAGGGCCACTGCTTAGGGTAGGTTTGGCAGGAGAACCAGAGGGGCCCAGAGACTGAAGGTGGGTGGTGAATGGAAATGCTGTAGGATATGCGGCTCCCAAGTCAGACTTCAGGCAGTGACCTGGCGTTCCCAGAAGGGCCAAGGCCAGAATAAAGGTAGACAAGTCTCGGCAGGGAGGAAGCCAGCCAGAAAGGGCCCCAGCATGGGCATATCCCGAGAGACCTCCCTGACCACTGGGCCCTCTCCACCCCCACAGACAACCAGTCAGAGTACTCGGTGGGTTCAGAGGAGGAGGATGAAGACTTCGATGAACGTCCTGAAGGTGGCATCTGTGTTCCTGACTCTTACCTCTTACCATTTTATTTTTCAGTTTGCTTTAAGCCCACTGTTTTTGTACAAGTAAAAAATCTTTGTGTGTGTGTAAAAACTCGATTGCAGATGAGCAGAAAGGAAGCAATGTTGATAGTCTCTCCACTAGTAAACTTCGGTTTGTGTGACCACATAGACTAGATCAAGAAAGGCTGAATCATTTTCCATTCCCACTGGTAATCTGGGCCTTTGTCAGATACCAGCTATTAATTTTAAAATATGACTGGTTCTTTTAGATTCACTGGGTTAGTAGTTCTGAAGTGCTTGGGAGAGAATTGGGAGCACCTCAAACATGATAGGAATGTTCCTGTGTTCTGTATCTTGTGGGAATGGGGTGCTAAGGAGGACTGAGGCTTAGAGGAGGTGGTGGATCAGCTAACTGATGTCATCCCCACTCTCAGGGCGTAGACAGTCAAAGAGGCAGCTCCGGAATGAGAAAGATAAGCCACTGCCTCCACTGCTGGCCCGAGTCGGGGGCAACATTGAGGTGAGAGCTGGGCCCAGTGTTCGTGAGTTCTCCAAGGAGAGCATGAGGGCAGAAGGGTGGAAATTGGGGTCTGGATCACTGAGGGTAGAAAGGACAAGATCTAAGAACCCTGGACATTTGTCGCCATTGCCTCCTTGCCCCCACCCTCAGGTGCTAGGCTTCAATACCCGTCAGCGGAAGGCTTTCCTCAATGCCGTGATGCGCTGGGGGATGCCACCACAGGATGCCTTCACCACACAGTGGCTGGTGCGGGACCTGAGGGGCAAGACTGAGAAGGAGTTTAAGTGAGTGTGGGTGATACAGGGCTGAGTTGGATGCAAGGGTAAGAGCTTTGGGTGTTCCATTCTTCCTTGGGGCCGCCATATGATGTGACCTTACTCAACTGATTGTCACCCTCCCTGCCATACAACACTTCCTGGCTCGATTTCCTGGGGGGTGGTCTCAGCCCACCCCACCTCCCCTCAGCCGAGCCTAGAGTAGAGGGGCCAGGCATCCTCCCCAGGGGAGAGGTGTTGAAGCAAGGAACCTCTCCTGGGCTGTCCTAGCCTCACATTTACTTGGCCACAATCACCTGGCAGGAGGAGCTGGTGGAAAGGATGAAGAGCTGACTGATGGGGCCCAGGAATTAAGTACCAAGGCCAAGGGGAAAGGCCAGGGATGGGGCACAGGGGCACGGTTAGGACTTGGAGGGCTGGTAATGGTGAGAGTGAGAGGCCCAGGGGAGGAGCCCTGGAGCACCTGGGGATTTGGGGACTTGGGGGTCCTCAGTCATCCTTGCATCTCCTCACTGCCCTATACCCTTCTGTGGCTCCCCTAACCGTCCTCCCACCCCATGCTTCTTAGGGCCTATGTATCTTTGTTCATGCGCCATCTGTGTGAGCCTGGGGCAGACGGCTCTGAAACCTTTGCCGATGGGGTCCCTCGGGAGGGACTGAGTCGCCAGCAGGTGCTGACCCGCATTGGAGTCATGTCTCTCGTCAAGAAGAAGGTATCAGTCTTCCTCTCACCCCAAAAATCAAGCTGGCTGCCTAGTCTCTGTCCTTCCTCTGCCTCTGTCCCTGAGTTGTAAGCTCGCGCTGGTGTGAGACGGAGGAGACTGGAGCTTCCTGTCTGTATGTCTGTAAGTGCCTGGAGCTGGCACCTGTCCTTCCCACCCCAGGTGCAGGAATTTGAGCACATCAATGGGCGTTGGTCAATGCCAGAACTGATGCCCGACCCCAGTGCTGACTCTAAGCGCTCCTCCAGAGCCTCCTCTCCTACCAAAACGTCTCCCACCACTCCTGAGGCTTCTGCTACCAACAGTCCCTGCACCTCTAAACCTGGTAATCAGAAATCAGGATGGTGGTGGGAGAGAGAAAGGGAGCCAGGAGTCAGGGCAATAGAAGCTCTGTCTTTATCACTGTGCCTTCCCCGCAGCTACTCCAGCTCCAAGTGAGAAAGGAGAAGGCATAAGGACTCCTCTTGAGAAGGAGGAAGCTGAAAACCAGGAGGAAAAGCCAGAGAAGAACAGCAGAATTGGGGAGAAGATGGACACAGAGGTGTGTGGCTCCCTGGATTCCCCTGTGGAGTGGGAGGGGAGGAGGCTTAGAGGCCAGATGCCTGGGAGCCCTCCAGCTCATCCTGACCCCATTGTCCTCTTACAGGTTGATGCCCCCAGCCCAGCCCCATCACTCGGGGAGCGGCTGGAGCCAAGGAAGATTCCTCTAGAGGATGAGGTGCCAGGGGTACCTGGAGAGATGGAGCTTGAACCTGGGTACCGTGGGGACAGAGAGAAGTCAGGTGGGTGCATGGCCTTAGGAGTGATGGGGGATTAGAATTTGGGATGTCCCTCTTCTGGGGTCAGAGGATGAGGGTAACATCCTCCCTTCCTATCCCCTACCCCCTCCCACAGCCACAGAGTCGACGCCAGGAGAAAGGGGGGAGGAGAAGCCGATGGATGGACAGGAACACAGGGAGAGGCCGGAGGGGGAAACAGGGGATTTGGGCAAGAGAGGTAATGGGTGGAAGGACCGGACACCTGGGTCCCTGAGGGCATCAGGGGAGGTGGAGTCTGGGGAACCAAATGCTTGGGTCCTGGGCGGGTAGCTGTTTGAAAGGCCAGGACAGCACAGTACAGATAGTAGTCTTGGGACCTGGGAGGAGGGTGTCCTGAGGTGTGAGCTTTGGCCTGTCTGTCCTAGCAGAAGATGTAAAAGGTGACCGGGAGCTTCGACCAGGGCCTCGAGATGAGCCACGGTCCAATGGGCGACGAGAGGAAAAGACAGAGAAGCCCCGGTTCATGTTCAATATCGCAGATGGTGGCTTCACAGGTTGGGGAGACTCTCGATGCTTTCTGCTCCTCAAGGGGATCTGCTCATCCTCATGGGGTTTCTCGTTTTGCCTGAGGCTTCCTGCTACCTTTAATTCCAACTAACTTCCAATGAAGTATGTTGCATGATGACTCCAATCCTTGCTCTAAATCTTTCTTAAGTATCCCTCTTAACTCCAAAGCTGGCTCTAATCCCACCTTTATTCTTAATTCTAACTCGAACCTGGTTAGTAACGGAGTTTGTTCCGAACTCCTAACCTAACCTTTACCCATTCCTCTTCAGGAGCCCTTAGTTCCCTTTCATTATTCAGTTTCCCCATCTGTACCTGTCTGTTGGACTGAGTGCAGTCTGCAAACCCTTGTTGCCTCTTCTGTCTGCTGCCGCCTTTGCAGAGCTTCACACACTGTGGCAGAATGAGGAACGGGCAGCTATTTCCTCGGGCAAACTCAATGAGATCTGGCACAGAAGACACGACTACTGGCTTCTGGCTGGGATTGTCCTGTATCCTTTGACACACGTGCAAGAAGGAAAAGGTTCTCTCAAGCTGGCAAAAAAAAAAAAAAAAAAAAAAGGATGATGATTTCACACCCAGGGACAGGGCTACTGCCACACTTTGGGGAGTCAGGCCAAAAGGAAGAAGTGTTCAAAGCCAAGCCCATTCCTGTTAAATTCCTTGATGGTTCCCTTTCCTTCATTGGTAGCCATGGCTATGCACGGTGGCAGGACATCCAGAATGATGCTCAATTTGCCATTATCAACGAGCCATTTAAAACTGAAGCCAATAAGGGGAACTTTCTGGAGATGAAAAATAAGTTCCTGGCCCGGAGGTTCAAGGTGGGAATGAGGGAGGACAGGAACGGGTTATAGACGGGCTTGGGTCAGAAGTGAGGCCAGATCTAATTGGAACCTAGGGAAGGTTAACACCTTCAGGGCTGAGGTGATGTTTGGAGCCAAGACCAAAGTGTAACCTTGTGCTTGGGAGTGTGGTCTGGGTCAGGGTTGATGCTAGGTTCGCAGTTGGTTTGGAGGTAGGAGTGCTTTGGGCCAGCAGTGAGGGCAGGGTGGGTCTCCTGCTGTGTCCAGTCCCCCCGCCCGCCACTCACTCACTGCTGGCAGAGCCCTGCCTTCACCTCCCAACCCTGTGCCCTCAGCTCCTGGAGCAGGCGCTGGTGATTGAGGAGCAGCTGCGGCGGGCGGCCTACCTGAACCTGTCACAGGAGCCGGCGCACCCCGCCATGGCCCTCCACGCCCGCTTCGCCGAGGCCGAGTGCCTGGCCGAGAGCCACCAGCACCTCTCCAAGGAGTCGCTGGCGGGGAACAAGCCGGCCAACGCCGTCCTGCACAAGGGTAAGGGCCGCGGCGGCCCCGCGCGGGGGAGGGCCCACAACGCTGCGTAAGTCTTCACCCCGCACCCCTCAAAATCTTCCCACCCCCTGACCCCTCTACCCTCTGAACCACCCCCTCTGACCTCTAACCCCACCCCTACCGACCTGGCACCCCCTTCGATTTTAGCCTCTAGGACTTGTGCAAACCAACCCTCACCCACACCTGATAGCATTCACAACCATGCCCCATAGAGGGGCCTGCCCCAGCCTCCATGTCCCCTCTACACAGTGGGGCCTCTTCACTGGCGGTGGAGCCGCATCCCTGCCATGCTGCCGACATCATCCAGTTAGGGGCCTTGGACTGTGTGTGCACCATACAAATCCCTGGCTCTGGTCAAACAAATCACATTCCCTCACATCTGTTTCACCCCATGAGGCAGAAACTACCACCCATCCAACCCTCTGACCCTACTCCATGAAACTTCCCTTTGACCTTCGACCTTTCCTCCTACCGCCTCTTACCTTGCCAATGATAGAGATTATATCCAAAGCCCTCTAACCATCTAATCCTGCCTGATGTAGTCACTGACTCCTGGCCCCTTTGATCCCTGTTCTAATTCCTTGAATCTGTAATACTGACCTTCTAACCTCCCTCTCCCCTTACATATTAAAATCTTGATTCCTTAAAGCTTTGACACTTACCACCTCCCATGCCTCCTGACTATTTCCTCCCCATCATCCCCAACCCCAAACCTTGCTCTTCCAGTATGAGATGTTCTGACAACTCCCCGCCCCCATGTCTTCCAATGTCCCCCCATCTTCCTTTCCTCCATGCTCCCTTTTTCTTTCTCCTTTCTCTCCATCTGTCTTCTGTGGTGATCTGTTCTCTCTCTTTTCCTGACACTTTTTCTTTTCCCCTGAGTTGCTTCTGTTTTTTGTCTACTTCTTTTACTTTCTTGATCTCTGGTTCTTTGACATCTGTGTCCTCCTCTCTCGCTCTTTTTCTGCCTGTATCTGTCCATCTGATGCCTCTCTTTTCCTGGCTCCATCTCTCTATTTCCCTGTCTTTCTCTTGCCCTTCTTTCTCTGTGGCCCGGGCCCCAGTTCTGAACCAGCTGGAGGAGTTGCTGAGCGACATGAAGGCGGACGTGACCCGCCTGCCAGCCACGCTATCCCGAATACCCCCCATCGCAGCCCGCCTTCAGATGTCCGAGCGCAGCATCCTCAGCCGGCTGGCCAGCAAGGGCACGGAGCCTCACCCCACACCGGTAACCCTCTTTCCCCCTAGCTCCAGTTTTCCCTGTTTGGGTTCCTCCTGCACACATACAAACACTTCCATCAGAATCCTATACAATATGGAAAAACATCTTGCTAGAACACAGTCGTCACCCTTGAGTGAGTCTGCCTGCCTGTGTATCCTACCCTCAGTAGCTGTGGAGTGTGGCTCCTAATGTCTCCCCTACAGCTTCTTTCCTCTCACAGACTATGAACTAACTCCAACTTCTGCTTACTCTCTGTTCCAGGCCTTCCCCCCGGGTCCCTACGCTACACCTCCGGGGTACGGGGCAGCCTTCAGCGCCGCACCCGTAGGGGCCCTGGCCGCCGCAGGCGCCAATTACAGCCAGATGCCTGCAGGGTCCTTCATCACAGGTCAGCTGGTGTTTTCCTACCCCAGCTACTCACACTCCTTCTTCGCCAAACTTTATTTCTGCTCAGCTGCCCTTTAACTGCTCTAGTCCATCTCATTTCCTTGGTGGCATCTGGTGTTTTATGGGATAGAGTTGTTCTAGGCTGTCCCCCCATCCCTTTCTTAACCCCTCTTTGATCTCCTTTATCAAAAACCAGAGTTTTAGTAGATCTGTGACTTGGTGTCTTCTACCCAAGCCACCTCCCTCCAGGTTCCTTCAAGGGAAAGTGAATATGAAACCCGAGGGGTATAGAGTGGGAACATGTGTTCAATGAGGTAACACAAAGTGGAATCTCAGAGAAGGGGGTTTGCCCTTGTCTTCCCACCCTTACCTGGGGCAACTGGAAGTGGCAGGAGGTGGCCTAGAAGTGAGAATTCACCACTGTCATGAAGTGATGTTTGGGAGTGATGTGGGAATTGATCTTTCCTTACCCCTTTCCCAAACAGCCGCCACCAACGGCCCTCCAGTGCTGGTGAAGAAGGAGAAGGAAATGGTGGGGGCATTGGTGTCAGACGGGCTGGATCGGAAGGAGCCCCGAGCCGGGGAGGTGATCTGTATAGACGACTGACTGGATCCCAGGCCTGCCCTTCACCCAGGCCCCGTCCCCGAGGCCGACCCCCAGCTCAAGTGCTGGGGCCTGCTGCCAGCCCTCCACCTTCCCCACCCCTTGGGCCATCACTGGGCTAGGAACCCCTTTGCCCCTCTCTGCAGCTCCTCTCTTCAAGAAGGGCCCTTTCTCCACTCCCACGCGCCTTTCCCACCAAGCCTTGAAGACTGTGCTGGTGAGAAGAGGTCTGGGTGGGAGACAGCTGGCAGGGTCTTCCAAGTACCTTCCTCCCCCGTCGCCAAGTATACACAACTTCCCAGTAAATGGTTGTGGGGAGGCAAGAGGTGGAGCCTCCCCAGCTGTTTCCCTGCAGAATCAGCTCCATCTCATGCAGAAGTGGAGAATTAGCCTTGCCTGGCCTTTAGAAACTTTTGCGGGGGAGAGAGCTTTGAAGAGAGGAGGGGGACTTTTAGAGAGGGATGAAAATGAGTCCTGGGAGGGAGGAAGGGACGAGGAGGGGTGGCTGCATGTTACCGTTCCCTACCTCTCCCCACATGGAGGGTGGAGCAGTTATGAGGGAGGAAGTCAATTGCTGTTCAGCCTCAGAATAAAGGCGCCGTTCACTGGCTCAGTTACCTCCTGTGTACCGGCATCTTGTGTTGGGAATGTTCCCCCCTCCCTAGGGACCAAGGACCACCCCTACAAAGAGTAATGGTTGGGTGATACTCCTTCAAGCCAAAGAGGAGCTCCCCAACCTGTTCTAGGGACCCAGGTCACCTAGAAGGGTGGGAGAGAATACAATGGGCCAGACGGCGGTCGGGGGGAAGCCCCCAGCTCTGGGGCTTAGGTTCCTGAAGACTTCTACTACCCTCCCTCCTCAAGGCCTAGATACAGACTAAATTTGCGTTAAGTCAGGCAGGGGACCTAGTCAGGGTCTTGGGAGCTACCTTGTCATTGGGACCAGAGCAAAATAGTGGAGGGCAGGCAAGGGAAATGTGGGCACATCCCCCCTCCCAGGAGGGGCCGGGGAGAGTGGCAGTTTGCATGGCGAACCCCCCACTTCCTCTTTGCTGCCCCTTCACTTTCTTGCTGCCCCTTTCCCAGTCTCTCTTCACACCCACTCCTGGTCTGTCCTGATCCCCTCTTCTGTATCAGGTTTATTGGTTGTACATATAAATTATACTTTCCTTTCTGTGTGCTCTGTTATTTTTTATGGGGGGGGAGTTTTGGGGGAGGGATAAGAAAAGTTGTTGCTTTCTGCCTTTTCTTTTTAAAAAAATCTTACGACTTTTTCCTTTTCCTCATTTTTATCTCTTGGATTATTCACCAAAACTGAGGTTCTTCCAGCTCCAACTATGTGATGGGCTCAGTGTAGAGAAGGAGGGTGAGCAGCAGATACCTACATGGCCTCAGGTTGACTTTAGAGAGAGTGGGACTTACTGGACAGAAATGTAGTGGGAGGAGTGCCTAGCAAGATTCAAAACTGCCTTCCAGCCATCCTTTTGATCATCCTTACCACCTTCAAGTTGCACTTTAGTTCCCCTAAGAGTCAGTAGAGGTCACTACAGCTCCACAGGTTCAGTTCCAGTATGAAGCAAAGGCACACTTTTTTTTTTTTTTTAAGGAGTTGAGGGTCAGATCTGTCTAGCTTACCAAAGATTTGAACTGCTAGGCACTTCCTTGATGTTTATTGCTCACTAAACAGAGATTCTCAGAGATTGAGAGAGGCCAGACATTTAGTTCACAAGGCTATTATATTAAAAAAATAAGATATAAAGCCAACAAATATTTATTGAGTACATATTATACAGTAACACTGCTGTTGGCCCTGGACATAAAACAGTCACAGGTCAGCCCTTGCTCCCATGGGGCTTACACTCCAGTGAGGACACCCACAAAACATGAAAATAAAAGCAGTAAAAATAAAACGGCGTTATGTTACAGAGGGGTGGGGAAAAGGCTCTACTATGCTGAAGGCAGAAGAAGGCCTCCCAGAAGAGAGAGCATTTAAGCTGAGACGTAAGGACAGGAAAATGCCAAAATAGGGTTACAAAAATTGAGGTTTATAAACCATAAGTGTATATGATTTGTCAATCAAAAATATTTTAAAAAGGTTGGAGACCCCTAAAAATTGAGGTTAATACTTAATAAGTTCACATTTTTAAGAGAAAAATTTAACAGTAGGTTAGGATTTCTTTAGCAATAGAATGTTACTTTAGAACTTTGGATAAAACAATCTATCAGTCATACTTACTATGTTTTAAATATTCTACCTACAGTGGTGATATCTTAGAGAGTCTAGGATCTAGACCAATGATACTTACATTTTCACATGCACACAAATCACCTGGGATTGTTAAAATGCCAGAGTCTGGCCAGGCGCGGTGACACTCCTATAATTCCAGCACTTTGGGAGGCCGAGGTGGGCGCATCACCTGAGGTCAGGAGTTTGAGACCAGCCTGACCAACACGGCAAAACCCCATCTCTACTAAAAATACAAAAATTAGCCAGGCGTGGTGGTAGGCGCCTGTAATCCCAGCTACTCTGGCGGGTGAGGCAGGAGAATCGCTTGAACCTGGGAGGTGGAGGCTGCAGTAAGGTGAGATTGCGCCACTGCACTCCAGCCTGGGCGACAGAGTGAGACTGTCTCAAAAACAAAAACAAAAAAACACAACCCTGCCAGAGTCTGATTCAAGAAGTCTGGAGTGGGATCCTGGAGTGAGATTATGCACTTCCATCGACAGTATACCAACGCTGCTGGTTTCTTGACTATGACTATATGGTCATAAGATACTTACAGGATTCTAAAATAGAATACATGGCATATATACAATAGGTGATGTCCCATTATGGGACACAAATTTTAAAGACACTTAAAATTGTATAAGTATCTTTTCAGTAGCGCCAGTGTTCCCTGTGTCTGTAAAGATAACACAGATAATAGCAAAAGTTTGAAATATGATGCCTTTCAAATGGCTCTCCTTTCCTACTTTGATCGGCTCTAATTAGGTGCCTCATATAAATGCCCTTTGGAATTTCTGATACCTGCCCTAGCAGGCTGAAGGTAGATTCTGAAATGAAGCAAGACTCCTAATCATAGTCACAGGCAGGGAGCCAACTCAATTTTTGGAACACAGAACTGGGAGTGGGGAGACAGCAGGCATACCAGCACCCTTACATGCCAGAGAAGTGAGATTAACATGACGCGAAAATTAGCCTCTTCTCTCCCATTCCATCTTAAAAAAAAAAAAAAAAAAAAAAAATTCAAACCATTGACAAAGAATTGCTAAAACGGGACCTGTTGCTCCCACACACCAGAGCCACCCTGGACAAAAGCCAAAGTCCCAGCTAAGAAAACAGTCTGTCTTCTTCCCACAGTAACGTAGGCTTTGTTTATATCATCCCTTGGCCACTCCATCCTGAAAATGTAAGACTGGCACAGTCAGTAGATGGGGGCGAGTTCGTCTAGGAACCTCCCCAACTCATCATCAACACCTCCCAGGGCGTTCCCTCCTGCCCTCAGCTCCTCTCTCTTATCACATGTCAATCCTGGGATCTGAGACAGAGTAGTCTTGATATCAGCCCCCGCGAGGCTGCAGCTCCCACCTTCCTTCGGCTGTGGCTTCCGAGTTCCTCGGTTACAACGTGCAACGGGTCAGGTGGGCAATGTCCTTGATCTCCGGACAGTAGAGCACTGGGGGAAAGAAGAAGGGTTAGCGGCAGCAGGAGCAAGCCAACCAACCTCCGTGTTCCTCGGCGCTCTCTCCCCTGCATCCTCCCCTGGTAGCCCCTCACCGTTGCTAGGCAGCGGACGCCGCCAGCGCCGCGCGGGCGCCAGGACCCTGTCCCAGAGCCGCCGGAGCGCGCGCCATCCAGCGCTCCTAGGCCCCGCCCCCTTCTCGCTCTCCCCTTCCTCCTCGGCCTCTCTGTCAGCGTCGCTGCTTTCCTTGGCCGGGTTCCCCGCCTCATCTCGTTCGCACTTGGCCCGCGCTTTTTCCTCCAATCGCGACCACAAGTCCGAGTCAAGAGCGAGCTCCGTGACGCCGCCGCGCGGGAGCGGCGAGGGCGCGCGGCAGAAGGGGCACGTGACCACGCGGCGCAGGCGCACCACGCGCGCGGCCGTCCCGCTGCCGTCCCCGCGCGCTGCCAGCTCGCGGAGGCAGGCGGTGCAGAGCGTGTGGCCGCAGCGGGCGCGCGCCGTCCCGGGCAGGCGGCGGGGCGCGCGGCCCCCGAGGTTGAAAGGACGGTAGCAGATGTTGCAGTCCAGCTCGCCCCGCTCCGGAAGAGAGGGCACCCTCACCAAGAGCTGCATCGTGCCCGCCGCCAACTCGAGGGCGTCGCTAACGCGGCCGGCTCGGTGAACAGAACGAACTGACTCTTCTGAGGCCCGGGTCGGGTTATGGGGCCGGCGCCGCGGCCTCTTTCCCCTTTAAATAGGGCAATAAGTGAGGCCCCACCCTTCGAAGCGTCACGCCTTGATCGGGCCGCTCCCCGTGGCGGCACGTGTGGGGGCGGTGGAGGCTTGAGGCCTGGCATGATAGCGATGATGGAGTCGGGGAGGCGGCCCAGGCTGTGCCAGGACCGGAGCCCTGGAGGCCGTGGCACCCATTCCTCCCTTCCTCCCCACTGCCGGGGAGCGGGGTGGGGCTTTCCTTCTTCCCCCAACGCAACACCAGCGCTCCTTAATTCTACCCTGTGCAAATCCCCGGGTCCCTCCCTGCGCCTCAGCCGTCAATCATTGGCCCAGGTCTCTAAAGCCCCCTCGGCCTATTCAGTTGCTCGCGTGAGTTTCACAATCCCACTCAGTTTCCAAACACTGCCCATTCTGCCCAACCTTTGGTCCCGGGTCCTTTGACTCGATTTTGCCCTCAATTCTCATTATAGATGACCTCTCTGTGTTGCTTGTAAGGCTGGCTTCTTAAACTTCATTCTCCCCAAACTGCTTAACTCTCAGCTGGTATCTTAGCCTAAGGAGGGACCTAGATTCCAGGACCATGGCTTTAGGAATGCTGGGAATCCTTTCCTTCCGGAGGCCTGGACACCCACACATCGTGATGGCCCCAGTAAAGCTCCCCAGCATAAGTTCTGACTCAGGGGTCTGACTTCTCCCACTGGTAAACAGGACATGGTACTCACAACCCACATTCCCCTCATGGTGCCACACCCACACACAGCTGCCTTCTCACCCTCCTCTCCTGGACCTGCAGCCCAGGTTCTGTTGTGGAAGGTAATAACACAGTCTAGTGCCAGCTGGCTTGAGTTCAGATCCTAGCTTCCACCTCTTACTAGTTGTGACACTTTGAGCAAGTTACTTAATTTATGTGGGCCTTGGTTTCCTATAAAAAATGTGGATAATGAGGACTGAACGAGGTTATATGTGTAAGGTGCTTCTTTTTTTTTTTTTTGAGACAGAGTCTCACTCTGTCACCCAGGCTGAAGTGCAGTGGCACCATCTCGGCTCACTGCAAGCTCCGCCTCCTGGATTCCTGCCATTCTCCTGCCTCAACCTCCCAAGTAGCTGGGACTACAGGCGCCCGCCACCACGCCCAGCTAATTTTTTGTACTTTTAGGAGAAATGGGGTTTCACCGTGTTAGCCAGGATGGTCTTGATCTCCTGACCTGGTGATCCACCCGCCTTAGCCTCCCAAAGTGCTGGGATTACAGGCGTGAACCACCATGCCCAGCCAGTACCCAACATTTTCAACACACATCCCTCTTGACCAATATGTGCAAGATGGGCTTCTCCACACCCATGGCATTTACCAGCCATCACAGGCAATGCAGAGCTGGTTTTTTAACCTTCATTGTTAAAACCTAGAGGGTAATCTCTTCTGAGGAGGTATACCATTGTTTTTAAGCAAACATTTCAGAACTTTTGAATGGTATTGTCTGTAATCATGGGAGAAGCTGTCTACTTATTACAGTGATGCTGTCACAATTCAAAACTTTTTGGTCTTAAAAAGGAACTGGTAGGGCCGGGTATGGTGACTCTTGCCTGTAATCCCAGCATTTTGGGAGGCCAAGGCGGGTGGATTGCTTGAGGTCAGGAGTTCAAGACCAGCCTGGCCAACATGGTGAAACCCCGTCTCTACTAAAAATACAAAAATTAGACAGGCATGGTGGCTCACACCTGTAGTCCCAGCTATTCGGGAGGCTGAGGCATGAGAATTGCTTGAACCCGGCAGGTGGAGGTTGCAGTGAGCGGAGATCACGCCACTACACTCCAGTCTGGGCAACAGAGTGAGACTCGGTCTCCAAAAAAAAAAGGCGGGGAGGGGGGACTGGTAGGTATCGATGGTTAATAAATATATGATGGGCCGAGTGCAGTGACTCACGCCTGTAATCCCAGCACTTTGGGAGGCCGAGACTAGTGGATTGCCTGAGTTTAGGAGTTTGCGACCAGCTTGAGCAACATGGTGAAACCCAGTCTTTACTAAAAATCCAAAAAATTACCTGGGCATGATGGCGTGCACCTGTAGTCCCAGTTACTTGGGAGGCTGAGGCAGGAGAATCGCTTGAACCCAGGAGGTGGAGGTTGCAGTGAGCCAAGATTGCACCAGTGTGCTCCAGCCTGGGCAACAGGGCAAGACTCTGTCTCAAAAAAAAAAAAAACAAAAAAAACCTTTTAATGTGGTGGTAGACTAATGGTGGCCCCAAATTCCTTTGCAGTGTGACTTTGGTACTTCTCACTTCAAGAATTGGGGTCTCTTTCTCTATCCCTTGAATCTGGGCTGGTCTTGTAACTAGCTTTGACCAATAGGTGTGGCAGAAGTGATGTGTGAGTTCTGGAACCTAGTCTGTCAGAGGCCTTGTAGCTTCTGCCTTTGTCCCCTTGGAACACTCCCTGAGACCACCATGTAAGGAAGAGGCCACACGGAGGAGCGCCAGCCAACAGCCAGACATGCTGGTGAGGCCATTTTCCATTTTCCTGCTCATCTGACCTGCTGTTTGAGTGCAGCGACATGAGTGAACCTAGGTGAAAACAGCAAAGGAACTCCTAACCAGCCCACAGAATCGTGAAAAAGAACAGTTTTTAAAAGTTATTTCTCCTGAGTGTGGTGGCTCACACTTGTAATCCTAGCACTTTGGGAGACCAAGATGGAAGGATCACTTGAGCTCAGGAGTTTGAGATCAGCCTGAGCATCGTGGTGAGAGCCTGTCTTTACAAAAAAAGAAAAGAAAAGAAAAAAGCCAGGCGCAGTGGTGCACATCGTTCCCGCTACTCAGTAGGCTGAGGTGGGAGAATCACTTGAGCCTCAGGACTTCGAAGCTGCACTGAGCCGTGATCATATCAGTGCACTCCAGCCTGGGTGACAGAGCGAGACCCCACCTCTTAAAAATAAATAAAAAGTGGCTAGGCACGGTGGCTCATGCCTGTAATCCCAACACTTTAGGAGGCCGAGGCGGGCGGATCACGAGATCAGGAAATCGAGACCCTCCTGGACAACATGGTGAAACCCCGTCTCTACTAAAAATACAAAAGTTAGCTGGGCATGGTGGCACGTGCCTGTAATGCCAGCTACTGGGGAGGCTGAGGCAGGAGAATCGCTTGAACCAGGGAGTCGAAGGCTGCAATGAGCCAAGATCGTGCCACTGCACTCCAGTCTGGCAACAGAGCAAGACTCCATCTCTAAATAAATAAATAAATAGATAAATAGTGGCCGGGTGTGGTGGCTCATGCCTGTAATCTCAGCACTTTGGGAGGCTGAGGCGGGTGGATCGCCAGATCAGGAGTTCAAGACCAGCCTGGCCAAGATAGTGAAACCCTGTCTACTAAAAATACAAAAAATCAGCTCGGCATGGTGGCACTCGCCTGTAGTCCCAGCTACTCAGGAGGCTGAGGCAGGAGAATTGCTTGAACCCAGGAGGTGGAGGTTGCAGTGAGCCAAGATCGCACCACTGTACTCCAGCCTGAGTGACACAGAGAGACTCTATCTCAAAATAAAATAAAATTAAAATTAATAAATAAAAAGTTATCTCAGGCCATTAATGTTGGTAGTGATTTATTGTGTATCATAGATAACTGATATAGAGGGCTTCCTACTGTTTTTTTCCCAGTATGATAAATATAATATTTTTTGAGACAGGATCTTGCTCTGAGCATCAGGCTGGAGCATAGTGGCATAATCTTGGCTCACTACAGCCTCAATCTTCCAGACACAAGCCACCTACCCACCTAAGACTCCGAGTAGCTGGGACTACACAGGTATGAGCTACCATGCCCAGCTAATTCTTGTATGTTTGTAGAGATGGGGTCTCCCCATGTTGCCCAGGCTGGTCTCAAACCCCTGGGCTCAAGTGATCCACCTGCCTCAGCCTCCCAAAGTGCTGGGATTACAGGTGTGAGCCACTGCGCCTAGCCTAGATAAATATAACATTGTAAGGTGCCCTGTAAGTCCCTGTGTGCTCCAAACCTACCCATGCTGGCCTGTCTTCTCTCCCACCCTCCCTCCCTCCCTCCCTTCCTTTCTTCCTTCCTTCCTGAGTCTTGCTCTGTCGCCCAGGCTGGAGTGCAGTGGCATGATCTCAGCTCACTGCAACCTCTGCCTCCTGGGTTCAAGCGATTCTCCTGCCTCAGCTTTCCAAGTAGCTGGGACTACAGGTGGCTTTTTTTTTTTTTTTTTTTTTTTGTATTTTTAGTAGAGACAGGTTTTCTCCATGTTGGCCAGGCTGGTCTCAAACTCCTGACCTCAAGTGACCCACCAGCCTCAGCCTCCCAAGGTACTGGGATTACAGGCGTGAGCCATTGTGCCCAACCATTACCCATGTCTCACTTTCTGTTCCACTCCTCTCTAGACACTCTGGCTTTGGGTACTTTTGGCTTGTATGTTCTTTTCTGCCACAGGCCTTAGCATATGCTCTTAACCCTCTTGCTTAACCCTTATTAACACCTATTCATCCTTTAGCTCTTGGTGTTAACCTCACCATGTCAAATAACCACTACAGACTCGGTAACACCATGTGCTTTTCTCTGGACTTTGAACAGGAAGTTTGTATTTATTTAGTGGTTCTGTGATTGTCTCTCTCCTCAGCAAGATATATGAAGGTTCTGAGTCTGGTTTTGTTCACCTTTGTATCCCTGTGCCACACCATAATAGGACTCAATAGACAAATACTTGCTAAATTAATGAATGAAGTGAGTGATAAATATGGCAAATGTCTATATACAAAGGAGGTGTGACAATAAAAGGTTTTTTTTGTTTGTTTTGTTTTTTTAAATCAAAGGGTTTCCAAACCGTCTCTGAAGGTAATTCTAGGAGGAGTGGTGTGTGTTTGTTTGCTTGTTTTTAATATTTTGAGCAATGGGACAGGGTTCATTAAAATAAGTGCATAACCCTCTAGGATAACTATTTAAGGAGAATCCTATTTGGGATTGATAAATTCTCGTATGTTTGTTACAGAATAACTAATCATAGTTTAGTCATATATTTTACTTACTTTTTTCCTCTACAGTCTTGCAAAATGAGTGGGAGATGATGGGGTGGAAGCAAGTATTAATTAGTTGACTCGGTTGGCTGCTAATCCAGTAAATGGCATGCTGCTGACTTTTCTCTTTTGGAAATTGGTTTTACTCTGCTTGCCCAGCTTTTGGATCAAGGTAGGAGGAGGATGGGTAGAAGGGAGATGGGCAGGTTGTATTTAAGGAACGCAGAGCTCATCCTCCTCTGCCTTATGATCTTTAAGGTTGTAACTTTCAACCAGTTCTGTCCCAGTAAAATGATAACATCTTTCCTTCTCTCTGTATTCCCTCAACCTCAGACCATTCTTCACTTTACCTCTCCATCAAATCACAAAGCCTCAACCTCAGAACAGCATCTCCCACTCAGCCACAAGTTCCTTGGCATATGTGTGAGTATCCGGCGAGAGAGAAATGAGAAGTACAAGGAAGAAGTATGGCTAATATTACTTTAAATACAAACAAATAAGGGCAGATAGCTAGGTCTTTCATAGAAAGAGGAGGAACAAAATTATGAAGCCAGATTTCTGGGTTCTAAGGAATGTGGTAACTGAAGGAAGAAAACTGGGGCCTGGGTATCTGGTGTCTTGGTCCTTAATGAGAACAGTGACTAGGAGCCTGATGCCTGGGTCACCAAGGTGAATGAGCAGTGGAGAGAAAGCTAATGCTGGGAGCTTTCTAATGTTAGGGGGCGAGAGGGCCAGGCAGATGAGACTGTGACCCTACCCTCCCAAGCCCCTGCAACTTTAGACACTGTGAGGATCAAGCTGAGGTTTATTTACAGTTCCCTGGGAAGTCTTACAGAGGAGGGGCCATCATTATTGCTTTAGGGTTATTGCCAGGAGGAAGACTGCAGTTCTCCACTGCCAGGTAGGAGGCCCTGCTCAAGGCTCAAAAGTCTATACCCAGACCTTTTATGTCAGCCCCTTGTCTCTGCCCGTGACGGGGAGGCTATCACGAATTCCTGCAAAGAACAGCCCAACTGTTTTCCAAGGGCCACCCCGGCCACTTTCACCAGACTGCAGTGTAGATGTGCTATTAAATTTCCCTCTACCTTTGTCAGTGCTGTGCCACTGTAGGCCCCACCCTGACCACCCTCCTCCACCTCTGGGCTGGGAGGCAGGGTCCTGGTTTCCCAAAGATTATCATTTACTTCCCGCCAGGACCAGCCTGGCTTCCTTCGTACCGAATACCCTAAGAGCCACGTTTCCTATGTTCCAGATGACGTCACAACTCACTCACTAGGTTATTACCGTTTGATGACATTTCAAGGGCCGCTTTTGAGGTACTCTGCATGTTTCTTGTATGTGGTGGGTTTTTGTTTTTGTTTTCTTTTCTAGGCCTCGGGAATAAGGGGAGGAGAGTAGGGGGCGAGACCAAGTGGCCGACGGCGAGTAGTTCATGCCCGGTATTTGCAAAAGGGCCTAGAAGGACGCAGCAGGGGGCGGACGTACTACTTTCTCTCTGGACCCCACTGCAAAAGGGTATGGCTTTGTTCATGCGTATCACTACTCGAAGCCGGGACTCGTTGGTGGGCGGGGCTACCCTGGCTCCGGCCGCTACATGGAGGGATCCGGAGCGGGAGAGGCGGCTGCGGGAAGCGGGTCTCGGGCGTGTGCAGCGCCACCGGGTTGGGGCGCTGCGCCCGCGACCGACTACTTCTTGGAATGCGGCTTGTTTCCCAGGAGCCCGTCTATTTCCATCACCGTCTGTGGGGTCAGCTGGCTCAGCACCTGGAAGAGAATGGGGTGGTGGCAACGGCAGCCTGCTGGGTCCCTGAGAAAGGGCATGGGGTTCCAGGACCGGGGAAGCACCACAGTGCGATCAAGTGGCAAGGCAAGAGCCGCAGCTGTACCGGTGCCTCGCTTTCCGGCCCTGGGACCTCACACCTGCAAAGTGAGGACTTTGTAGTGGGTGACCTTATAGGGCCATCCTGGGTTGGAGAGTGTGGCTTTGACTCCTGGGGAAGGGGACAGATAGGGTCTGCCTCAGAGTCCCCGGCTCACCTGTAGCGCGCCCAGGTGTTCTATCAACTGCTCCGCACTCGACACCCCCAGCAAGACAGAGCTGACACCCTCACTGCGGAGACACCACGCTGGGGCCAGAGGAGGAAAAAAAAAAAGAACTGATGGGGCACAGTGACCACATAGATTTCAGAAGTGTCTCTGAAGACAAGGGTCCTCCCTAGGGACAAACCAGCTTTAGGATGGGCTTGGGAGCATGTCAGGAGGAGACAGGGCCCCTGCAGGGTGCAGTGTCTCACCAATAGCAAGCTGGGCCACAGTGCACCCCAGCTGGTGAGCGACGGGGAGAAGGTCCATGACTTTGGCTTGTTGCTTCTTGCCATCTTCACTCTGCACTTTGTCCTTCAGCCACTGGTAGCCCTGGAGGCCAAGGAGAATCAGCAGAAGACCCTGCCATCACCACCACCACACTCACACAGCAGCCCCCCGTAACTCCCCCCAGAGCAGCTCACATAGCCCAGTCCTGCCATCTGGAGCCCCCAGATCTCACCTTGATGGAGGCCCTGCAGGTATCTGGGACTTGCCCATCATACTTGCTAGTAATGAGACCACAGGGTAGAGGGTACCAAGTGACTGATCCAACTCCTAAGGGAAGAACACTGGGTGTCAGGAAAAGGACCTAGCCATGGATGAGGCTAAGGTAAAGGCAGGGATGAGGGCTGCAAACCAATCTTGTGGTAGAGCTCTGGCAGCTGCATCTCCACCTTCTCCCTCTGAAACAGATGGTGCTCCGCTTGTTCACACACTGGAGGAATCAGATTGAACTGTCTGGCCATGGAGTAGGCCTCCTGTGTTGGGGTTGGGGAAAAGATAGGGGTCAGAGCACTAATTCAATTTTCTTCTCTGCCTTCTGCCCCAGTGCAGTGGGCTTTGGAGTAACCACGTGAAAAGTGGGAACCAATTGTGGGACAGGGGCAAAGTGGGGTCACACACTCACCATGATTTCTGCAGCCCCCCATCGGGACGTTCCCCAGTATAGGGCCAGGCCCTGGTTAATGACATAGGTCATGGCTCGCACAATCTCTAGGCACACAGGAGAGGGAAAGCCTTACTGTCAGACTCCTGGAATCTAAGACTCCAGATTTGCAGACCTCCACCTGCCCCACCAAGGCCCCGGCATCTCTATGGAGTCATGAAAGTTAATATCTATTCTCTGCCTCCCTTTCTGTCCACATCCTGGAGTCTCAGCCTCCACTGTGGAGTTTGGGAGGCCTTGTGAGCAGGGGCTGGCTTCCTGCTGAGGGTTTGAGGAAGTGCTCAGGTTTTGTATTTTAGATTTTTTGAGGCAGGGTCTCGCTCTGTCACTCAGGATGTAGTGCAGTGGTGCAATCATAGCTCTGCGTCAAGCTCCTGGGCTTGAATGATCCTCCTGCCTCAGCCTCCTGAATAGCTGGGAGTACAAGGCACACACCGCCACAGCCCGCTAATTTTAAAACATTTTTTGTACAGACAGGGTCTTGCTATGTTGCCCAGGCTATTCTCGAACTCCAGGCCCCAAGTGATCCTCCTGCCTTGGCCTCCCAACGTCCTGGGATTACAGGAATGAGCCACCGTACCCAGCAAGGAAGTGCTCAGTTTTGAAGGACTGTAAGGGTTGGGGGTGCTGCTTTTACCCTCCATAGGACAGTTGGGGTCTGAGCGATTGGCAAAGACAATGTCCACATATCCCAGCTGGAGGCGTTCCAGGGATCCTCGCAAGCCTGGAGGTGGGGTAAGGAGAAGAAGATAAGCACCTCAGCTTCAGTGTACTAAGAATTCAGCCCACCTTGGGCGGGCGCGGTGGCTCAAGCCTATAATCCCAGCACTTTGGGAGGCCGAGATGGGCAGATCACGAGGTCAGGAGATCGAGACCATCCTGGCTAACACGGTGAAACCCCGTCTCTACTAAAAAAACATACAAAAAAAAAAAAAACTAGCCGGGCGAGGTGGCGGGCGCCTGTAGTCCCAGCTACTTGGGAGGCTGAGGCAGAAGAATAGCGTGAACCCGGGAGGCGGAGCTTGCAGTGAGCCAAGATCGTGCCACTGCACTCCAGTCTGGGCGACAGAGTGAGACTCTGTCTCAAAAAAAAAAAAAAAAGAATTCAGGCCACCAGGCACGGTGGCTCACGCCTGTAATCCCAGCACTTTGGGCGGCCAAGGTGGGCAGATCACCTGAGGTCAGGAGTTCGAGACTAGCCTGGCTAACGTAGTGAAACCCCGTTTCTACTAAAAATACAAAAAATTAGCCAGGCATGGTGGCGCATGCCTGTAATCCCAGCTACTTGAGATGCTGAGGCAGGAGAATCCCTTGAACCCGGGAAGAGGAGGTTGCAGTGAGATGAGATCGCGCCATTACACTCCAGCCTGGACAACAAGAGCGAAACTCCATCTCAAAAAAAAAAAAAAAAAAGAATTCAAACCTTGCCTCCTTACCATGGCCACCTAAATCCCTATTCAAAGCCTCTAGAAGTTCAGAGAATGTTCCCTACTCCTCTGGCTTCCATATCCCCTCACTTTGGGTTCCCAGCCCCTAACTCTCACCCTCAATGATGTGCTTTCGGCTTAAACCTCGCTCGGTTTCTGCCCTGTAGGAAAAGGTAAGTCAAAGATGAGACGTGACAAAGATAGGGGACCAGGGCTGGCTTGGAGCCATAAGGAAATGGGATTGCACGAGTCTTCACAGGTAGGGTGCGGACCTGGTGGAGGATAGCTGTCCCCACCCCCACCCCATACACCTTCACACATTCTTTGTAGGCCTTCTCCACAATCGCAGTGGGGCAGTCACTTACTGTCCTCCCCAAAAAATCTTGGTAGTGATGACATAGCTTGATCTCCTGGAAGAATAGAAATGAGAGAACCAGCAAGAAAAGGATTTTTGGGTGATCACATCCCCAGCAACCCCCAAAACAGTCTCACCTCCAACCTTTGCTCTTGAGGATGTTGCCTAGGGTTCTTTCAGCCCTAAAAGAAACATAAGGCAGAGCCACTGATCCCTCCCAAGCCGATCAATTCCTTCCTCTCCTCCCCACCTTTTCCTCTCTTGCAAGGTAGGATATAAACCAGGAGTCCATTTCAGCTCACAGCCCCATCCTGGACAAAATAAGAGGACTCCTGGAACTAGGGGTGTAGTTGTATAGTTTTCATCACGTATTCAACAAATATCTGTTGTGCATTAACTATGTGCCAAGCCCTACTGTGGGTGCCAAAAAGATAGAATAGGATGAGCGGAAAGAGGCCAACTATGGTGGAGCCAGGAAGGATGCTGCCTTGTCTAGCTTCAACTATCTGGGTTGCCCTCCCCCTTCTTTGAGCCTCTGCAAAATCCCACCCGTACTCCAAAGCTCAGCTCAAATTCTGCCTCATCCATAATGTGTTCTCTGAGTGCCACAGTCTATGGTCCAGCCTTCTTGTCAGCTTCCATAGAATTGGCTACATAATTTAGCAAAAAATTATGAGCTCACTTGTGACAAGTCTTAAGTTGTCATGGTGGACTGTTACTGAAATGTTTTACCGTTGTTTAATCCTTCCTATCGCCCATTTTTGTTTCTTTAACCACTTAGACTGTGTGCACTTTTGGAGACACATTGATTCTTCCCAGAAGCAGCACCTGCTCTGTGCTTGGCTCTGTGTGGGTACTTGGAGAAGAGCAAGACAAGTTCCATGGAAGGAGGCCTCTGACTTGAGCAGCTAATATAGCTGCATAAACCATGAATTGTGTGTCAGAAGGCAGTCCACAGTGCTTTAGGAGCTCATGGTGGGGGAGGGGGGTGACCAACTCTGGGAGTTGGGCAAAGACTTCTTGAAGGAGCAGACACTTGGGTCAAGTGTTGAAGATGAGCAGAAGTGTTTGCTAGATGGGGAAGAGGCAGGGTAGGTCATCCTAGGTTTTCCCTGCTCCTAGTGTGAAGCTATCAATGTATGATACGGCATGATGTGTTTGAAAATTCATCTTTGTAATCCTCATGTAGTTGCACATAACTAAGGCCTCAGATATATTTGTTGGCTTTATTTAATGTAACTACACAGCATACCCATTAACTTCTAAGCCAGAGGGGGACTGATGTTGCGACTGTAACACCTACAATGCTTTAGGGTCCCTCCGCCAAAGGGTTGGAACTTCACGTTCTCAGAAGTCCCAGGGTTCTTTAGAGGGAAAACAAGAAGATAATCCCTGGGGTCCTCTCAGCCTTCCAAATGGAGCTTAGCTCTTTCACCCCAGTCCTTACTTTCCTGCTGCGTAGACTTCGGCGGTGTCAAACAGGTTTACACCATGCTCATAGGCTACGGTCAGCACATCCTCCGCTGTCTAGGGAGGTGAAAGAGGTGAAGATCAACTACTGCTCCTCAGTTACCTCCCTCACTGCACTCTAACCCATCACATCTCAGCCCTGGGTTCTCTAGACTCTCCCCTCTCCCCATCCTCCAGCCTCAGATCCCTCATTCCCTGTGCTTGTTGTCCAAACCCCTATCCAGGTTAATTTCTCTTTTTTCAGGTTCCCTCACCCTCACCACCCTGATTCCATGTCCCATAACTTATACCTCATCTGAGATCTGAGAACCAAATGTGACCCAGGTACCTGAAAGAGAGAAGCCAGGCACATGAGAACTGCAGGGGGCAGACCATGAAAGAATACCCCCCTTTCCTTAATCCCTATTCTAACTCACCTAGGCCAAGACAGGATACCCGAAGACCAGACTTCCCCAAGTTCCTGCAAGATACAGAAGCAGCGGGAAGGGGTGGAGCCTCCATTATGGACCTAGATTATCAGCCCCCAGCTCCTCTCCTTCCAGACTGAGAAGCCCTCAGGTGTCTCAGTCCAAATAAACTAGACCCAGTGGGCCTATAGGATTGGGCAAGTGCTATCTCCAGAGCAGAGGTCCTAGGAATTTTGTCGAAAGGGCAAGTGAACCCTAAGTGACTGTTCCTCTGGAGCCACTGTCCAGAGTCTCCATTCTCTCTTATCACATTGAAGATGTGCTGTCAGGTTTGTCCTTCTTGTCTGTGTTTGAGTCATCTCTGGGATGTGTGCAGTGAGGGGCTGGGAGGAATTCTGTTTGATTGTGGTGTTTGATTGTGGCGAGTTTGTGAGACCAGGCCCTCAGGCAGAGTGCTGTGCCAAATGGCAGATGCCAGGTTGGAAGAGGTAAACTGAGTCAAGTTCAGGCATTCAGACAGGCAGGGGTCCCTGGCTAGGCTAGGCAGATGGGCCTGGAGGAAAGGTAAATTGAGGACCTGGGGGGAGGGGGGAGAGTAAGACAGAAAAGCCTGGTTCTCCCTCTCCACTCCCTCTGTTCCTATTGGCTTGTGAAGACTGTCTCTGAACCAGTGAGCCCCCCATCCTCCCAGAGCCCCCAACCCAGGTGTCAGCTCAGCTTTCCAATGAGGGCCACCATATAGAGGGGATCAGACTCTTCAGGCGACAAAGCAGGTCAGATCAGTGACCTCAGCTCACTCCCCAGCAGGAGCCCCTCCCCTACCCCCCACTTCAAGTTCTGAGCCTCTGGTCTGGCAGTCCTCTGAGATAAAGTCAGTTACATTTCAGTCTACCCAGACCCTGTCCCTCAGCATGGAGATGAAAAATGTGGTCCATCCTTCCCACAGGCCCTACTCCCCTTGCGCCCAAGAAAGGTCGCAGGAGACCTAGCCTTTGGGGCAGGCAGGGGCAGTATTTGGGTCAGGCACCCCCGAGCAGGCCAGAGTGAGAAGCCGATTCCCTCCCTCCACTCCCCAGGACACGGACCCAAGGACACTCCACTGGAGGGGGCACAGCCTGGAGATCCGTGTAGCATGGAGATCCGTGCATCCCTGACCTTCCCAGGGGTAAGGAGGGAAGCTCAGGGGCATTCCCTGGGTCTGACAGGACCCAGTCGACCTTGGTAAACTTGATTCTCTGGTAGTCAGGGGTATCGACAGAGACCAAGAGAGGGACAAAGTGAGGGAGTGCCAGAGACGGGAAGAAGAGAAGGAAAGAAGGGGGACCTACTTAGAGAAGTTTGAAGGGGTCTTGGCGGCCATCTCAAGAAGCCTCAGGGGTCCCGAAAGGAAAGCGGAAGGGGTGGGCTGCCCGGCCACCCCCATACCTGTATTTCATGCCAGTGCCTCGGCCGGTGCTCTCTCGGAGGGCCCCAGCGGGCGCTGGGGGTCGGGGAACCAGTGCAGCTCGGGCCTTGGGGCCAGACCCTCCACCCCCCGGAGGATTCCCATGCCCTGCGCCGGTCGGCCCGCCATTACCGCCCCCGGGGCCCGGCCGGGGTCCGCACAGACGGTCCTCACTGCTCCGGCTGCGAAGGTTCTGCTCGGTACACGCGATTGACACCTGCATGCCGGCTGACCGGGGCGGGGGAGGGGGCTCCGAGGGGACGGGAGGGGGGAGCAGGGAAGCCCGAGGGCGGACCACCGGGGGCGTAGTGGGGTGAGCCCCGGCAGAGAGGGAAGGCTGATGAGGCTGCGGCGGGAGCAGCCAGGCAGGATCGGCCCGCGGGGGCGGGCTGCTGGAGGTCGCGAGGTTTGCGGCGGGAGGGAAGAAACGCGGGGGGCGCCAGGAGTGGAGGTATTCAGTTACGGGGGACACAGGTGCAAGGAGTAGGAGGGGGAAATGGATGAGGGTAAAGGTCGAGGATGAGGTAAAGATCTCGGAGGATAAGGACCCAGGGGGAAGTGGGGCGGGAGAAAGATGCCACTTCAGCGCGAACCGCTGCGGGACCCGCTGGGCTCCCAGCCGCGTCGGCAGTGGGCCCAGCTCATCAGCATGCAGGCACCGCCTCCTCATCTGCATAGAGCCGCCCGCCTCGCAGCCAAACCTGCCGCCCATCTGCATAAGCCCCGCCTGCCGAAGGCTCCGCAGCTTGAATATTTTCTGAGCGGAATCCGGGAGGGTGGCTCCTGCACCATCTGGGACCCAAGGGCTGTCAGGCTTCCCCAGGCCCAGTGGTTCTCAATCGGGAGGGACTGTCTCCCCCAGGGGACTTTCGGCAAGATTTGGAGATATTTTTGATTTCATGCCTGTGCTATCAGCATCTAGTGAGTGGTAGCCAGGGATGCTGCTAAAATCCTACAAAGCACAGGACGGTCCCCACAATGAAGAATTACCCAGCCCAAAGCATCAATATTCCCACAGTTGAGAAGCCCATCCGCAAAGCCACTTCGTAGTCCTCAAGGATGTGTGGCTGCCCTACTTTCCGCCTTCATGCATGAGGCAGGACTGAGAGGGCCCTCAAACCAACACGCTCAGGCCGCAGAGAGTGGCAAAAAGTTTATTCTGTGCTTCTCGCAGCATCAGGTCGGGGATAAACTGGAGAGAGGGCCTGGTGTGGAGGTGGAGGGACTCTGTGGGCTTCATTCTGGTAGGAGGAGAGCATCAGGGCAGGCCTTTACGCTGTTGCTCTGGGTGGGGGGTGGGGGTACGGGGGCTTACAGTGGGGGCCCTTAAGTGGCACAGGTTCGGAAGGGCCCCAGGCAGACACGAATTCTCCTGAGACATGGGGAAGGTTGCTTCAGCCAGCCCGGGCGGAGAAGAAGGGCAGAGAGCGAACATAGGAGTCCAGTCGGGAGCGGAAGAGCTCACTTTGCACAGTTTGACCCAGTGGGCACAGGGGATTCTTCACCACCAGCTCCACATACAGCTATAGAAAGGGAAGATGTTAGAGCCAGGCTTTGGATACTTGTGGTTTTTAGCCCCAAACCTTGTATAACCTCAGGGGTGTGTAAATGCACAAGGAAGAAGGGCTGGAAGACAAGCCCTCTCTGAGGAGAAAGTGGTGGTGGGAGTTAAGAACCTAAGGGCCCCTGAGAAAACTCTTGAGTTCAGCAAACATATAGTAGGATTAGGGCAGGGAAGATGAGGGAGTCTTGGGGTTCTGATGAGCTCTGGGGTATGGGTCCCCGGGCTGGCACTGACCGCACTGTAGATGTGATGCAGCACATCTCGGATGGGTCCCACGCCCAAGTCAGTATTCATGACAACTTTGATCCCAGTGGGCGTCTCGTAGTAATGGAGTTTGTAACGGCTAGTTTGGAAGGCCAGGAAGCCATCCTTCCTGCAGAGATGAGGAGGGTGTTAAAGAATGGGAGCAGAATCTCTCCCAAAGAGATACTTTTGATCCCCTCAAAGGTCGACTCCCTCTTCATCTAAACATATCCTTTGTAGAAGCCTGGTTGAGTAAATACATCACCCATCCTCACCCCTCAATTTAGCCTCCACCAACCTCTCTACTTTCAGACCCTCCCCACTGCCACTCCTGCCAGCTCCAGCACTCTCGCTCCGGACTCAGCCTCTCTAAGTACCCTTTCCCCCTCTGGAGGCCAATGCTCCTTCCACTTCAGAAAGTTTCCCCCATCCCCAAATTCCCAAGGCTAGCCTTCCTCCCAACATCTTTTCTGACTCGGCGTACATGTCTAGCGGGGACATCTTGCTGACAAACGAGCGGATAGAGAAGAGCATCCCGTACATCAGCTTATACTCCTGGAGGGAGAGGGGCAGAGTTAGCTCTCGGTTGATGCGGGAGACGGGGTGGGGGCTGGGAATGAGCTGGGGTTTGGAGAGGAGGGGCTGGGTTGGGACTATAGGTGTTTGGAGATGAGAGGTCACCCGGGCTGCACCGGGGCCCTCTCGTCACCTCCTCCTTGGGAATCCCTGCTTGCTTCTTGCGGTGCCATTCGCTGTAGTGCAGACACACTCCATTCCGGTCAAACAGGTACAGGTTGTGGACAGTCATCTGCAGGGCAGGGAATGTGAGCCTCGCTCCGGAACGGCCCCCACTCCGTGGGCTCAGGTTCCTGGACCCACAGCCTTCCAACCAGGTGGGGACCCCACCCCCACCCCCGGACTCACCGGAACTGCTCCGAGTGCCTGTCAGGAGTTACTTCCGGTTTCCACGGAGCTCCGCCCCTTGGGGGGGTCTCAACCAGCGGCGCCGGGGCATTAACTCCGCTCCAAAGCCACTCGTCAGACTCCGCCTCCCTCCCTTAGCCAATCTGTGGCCACCGGAGCCGCGCACGCGCGGCCAGGCGCTCGGAATAATACAATAGTTATGTGAGCGTTTGCGAGCGTGGTCTCGCGGGCCGGTGACGTCATCGAGGCGCGAGAGGAGGAGCCGTGGACAGTGGGCGGGAGGCTGCCAACGGTTTTGAGCGTAGAGGGAGACGCGAGAGGGGTATCTCAGGGGAGGAGGCCAATCGCTTGCCCCCCACTTTGGCAAACTGGGGGCTGAGGACTGGAAGGGTGGAGAGTAGGCGGAACCAGGTGGTCGTCGGGGTGGAGGATCTCGGGCTAGGCTTGAGGGCGGCGTGCTTTTTAGGGACGACTTAGGGCGTGACTGAGGGTTCACAAAGTTTCTTTTGGGGTGGTCGGGAGGGAGAGATTCTAGGGAGCAAGGAAGCTTGCTATGGCTTTCTTGCCAGGAGGGGTCGGAGGGAAAGTACAAGGGAGCTGACCCTGGGTAGAACGGGTGAAGAGGTGGGGGAGCGTGAGGTTCCTCCCTCTCTTGAGACTGGAGCCAGTTGAGGGACAAGTAGGGAAGGGGGACAGAAAATGGGCCCCTAGTGGATTTGGGTCCGTTTCCGTTGGGACGTTTTGGGCATGAGAACTTAAGAGCTCAGTTGACCGGGGATAGCCTGTTCCGGAGTTGGTCTGCAGCTTCCAGCACTCGTAGCTGGGAAGAGGAGCTTCAGTGGCGCTGTTGTCCCACAGTAGGTCTTCTGTCCGCACCCCCTCTGCGCTGCATCGTCTTAACACTGTTCCCAGGAGCTGGGGAAAGGGATGCTTTTGCCCACTCCCATGGGCCCTGGAACTGGTGGAAACCTTTCCTCTAACCATAAAGCCTCGATGCCCTTAATTCACCAAGGATCCTTGGCGTGGAGTCTTCCTCCCTTCACCCAAATCTTTCTCCGTGAACTTTTCCTCCTGGACTTTGCTACAGCAGAACTTCCCAGCTCTGTGCTGTCTCCGGTTGTCTCTTCCCTGTATTCATGGCAACATCAGCTGACAGCCCCAGTTCACCCCTCGGGGCGGAGGATCTCCTGAGTGATTCCTCAGAACCCCCTGGGCTCAACCAAGTGTCGTCTGAAGTGACCTCCCAGCTCTATGCTTCTTTGCGCCTCAGCCGGCAGGCGGAGGCCCGAGCCCAACTGTATTTACCCACCACCTCCCCGCCTCATGAAGGGTTAGACGGCTTAGCCCAAGAATTGAGTCGAAGCTTGTCAGTCGGATTGGAAAACAACTTGAAGAAAAAGGTGAGGGAAGTGTGTCTTGGAGACCACTATGGCACCAGACACCAGAGAGTCTGGGGATTGGGGTTGGTAAAAACAAAAAACTTTGATGAGATTTGAACTCTTCTTGTTGGATTTCATATTCCCTTTAACTGGATAGGCAGTCATGCTTATGAGGGAGGGAGTGACCTGGGACACCATAATTTGAAAATTATGGAACTTCCTAGTGTTTTTTGTGAGAGACATCTGTGCTCCGAGTAGATAGAGCAAACCTATGGGGTAGGTTGGTGAGCTATTTCCTGTGCACTTGGAATGGGGAAGGTTTCTTGATCCCAAGAGGGAACTAGGGACTTAGGATAGCGGCTCAGATCCTTCCAGCTCAACACTATTTTGATAGTATGGTTCCAACTTTGGCATGTACATCATTAAGACATAGTTTAGTGAATTACAACATGTTACAGAGAAGATAGTTATTAGTATTGTATAGAAAAGGTGTCATAGTCAATTTGCAGTCTGGTTAGGTCTTCCAGAGTTTGGAAATGATAGCCATAAGCCACACAGTCCTTACATTTGTTCTTGAATTGGCAAGAATCTCCACAATTCTTGTCTTATTCCTCCTCATTTTATTTACATTCTCTTTCTGGCTTCTATAGTGTCTGAATTTCTGACTCAGGGTTAGGACATCCCTTACTGTATCTGTTTGGTTTTTCTTGTTTTCCAAAGTGCTGGAGTGAAAATTCTACCCTGGCAATAGGTAGGAGACAGATAACACAGGTTGCATCTGATTTCCGTGTGGCTTTTTTTCTAGGATGGTTCTAAGCATATCTTTGAGATGGAAAGTGTTCGGGGTCAGCTCCAGACCATGCTCCAAACCTCACGTGATACAGCCTATCGTGAGTAAGCCCCTTCCCTAGAACTATGAAGGAGAACCTAGATTTAAGGGGTGGGAGAAAGTGGACAGAGGAAGCAGACAGGAAAACCCAAGCAGGAAAACCTCTGGCAAGAGATTTCAGGAGAAAAGTCTCCCTTTCTTTGGGAGGGGGGGTGAAGGAGGGAACTGGAAAGGAAGGCCTTTTCTTCAAGTGGCCCATTTTTGTCATTACCTGACTGTGGCTTTGGGGTCCCTCTGGCTGCCTGCAGGGGATCCCCTCATTCCTGGTGCTGGCTCAGAGAGACGGGAAGAGGACTCCTTTGACAGTGATAGCACAGCCACCTTGCTCAAGTGAGTTCCCCTTGGGGTTCTCCTAGCTTGCTTGCTTTCTTGGAAATCCAAGTGTTTTGTTCCTTATTTCTCCCTTTATTGCTTTTGTACCTCTTAAGAACCCAAGAGGCTTATCACTTAGCTTTCAGTTTTCATCCTTTTTCTACTGTCTCCTATCCGCTTTACTGCTTCAGGAACAAGGGTATTTGCTGCCTGGTACCCGGTTTTCTCTTAACCTCCAGTCGTTCTTCCCCTCTAAAGAGTGAGCTTGTTTCTGCTGAAACCTTTAGGCGAATCCCAGACCTGTGTGTTATTTATGGCACTGTGGTTATATAGCTTTACCACTTTGGACAAGTCTCTTGCCCTCTCTGGGTCTCAGTTTCGTCATCTGTAGAATATCACAGTTGGACAAGTGGATTCCAAAAGCTTTCCCAGCCCTAACATTCTCTCCCTGATTTGCTCAGCACCCGGCCCCTGCAAGACTTGTCTCCGTCTAGCTCAGCCCAAGCCCTGGAGGAGCTGTTTCCCCGCTACACCAGCCTTCGGCCAGGGCCTCCACTCAATCCCCCAGATTGTCAGGGGCTGAGAGATGCATTGGATTCAGAGCATACCCGCCGCAAGGTAAGGTGAAAAGGCTTCCTTTTGAGAGCAGCAAAGATTAGAAAGAGGGGATCCAAGTGTTGAAAAGGGCTGAGGGTGAAGAGCCTGAAAGCTGGGACTTAACTCAAATGTTTTCCTGAGGACTTTTTTGACCATCCAACTAATATGGCACCACCTCCCTTCCAAGTAGTCAGTCAGATCGCCCTCTTATTTCCTTCGTATAGCTTA